ATAACTTTCCTACAAACTAAAAAATACATCCTAATTTGGGTTATTTTCACCAAAGACATGTAGCAGAATACATCTCGGCCTAAATTTATTAAGAACAATTATTTATTTGTAAACTTTTATAACAGAAACAAAGAAAAACATGTTTTTTTTTCAAAATTTTTGGTCTTTTTTTTGTTAATTTAGCAAAAAATAAAAACCCGGCAGTGATTAAATACCACCAAAAGAAAGCTCTAGTTGTGTGAAGAAAATGATAAAATTTTAGTTTGGGTACAATGTTGTATGACCGCGCAATTGTCATTCAAAGTGTGAGAGCGCTGAAAACTGGCCTGGGCAGGAAGGGGATAAAATTACCCGGTATTGAAATGGTTAACTGACAAATATGCTGCACCCAAATGAAATTTTTTGTCTTTTTTTTTTTTTTTTTTCTTTTTTCCCCCACAAATGGAGTTTTGTTTCGATGGCATTTGAGCACCTGTTTGTTTTTGTTTTTTACCCGCTATCAACAAAAAAAAAAAAAAGACAGACAATTTTTGAATTAAACCCCCAATATTTTTTGACTTTTTCCTATAAAACATGTCCAGTAAAAAAATTAAAAAAATTGAATTTCGTCATAAATTTAGACCAAAATGTATTCTGCTCCGTGTCTTTGCTAAAAAAAAAATCCCAATACGTGTAAATTAATTGGTTTACGTGAAAGTTATAGCGTCGACAAATGGCGGTATAGACAATGGGATTTTTTTTTTTTCTACTAGTAATGGCGGCAATCAGCAACTTTTAGCGGGACTGCGGCGGATATTCTGATACTGGGGGGGAACTAACTTGGTGTCACCGGTATCCCCAGTGACACCAATACACTGATCAGTGCTAAAAAAAAAAACAGCACTGACACTGTACAAATGGCGGTATAGATACTAGAAATAAAAAAATATATATATATTTTTACACTAGTAATGGCGGCGATCAATGACTTATTGCGAGACTGCGGTGGGCATTCTGAAACGGGGGGGGGGGGGGGGGGGTGGTGGTGGACTGACTAAATGCCACTGACATCCCCAGTGACACCAATACACAGTGATCAGTGCTAATAAAAAGCACTGACACTGTACTAATGACACTGGGCAGGAAGGGGTTAACATCTGGGGCGATCAAAGGGTTAACTGTGTGCTGTATGTGCCTTACTATGTAAGCATGCTGCTTTGTATTGCTCTGCTAAGCAGCATGCTGGTGCTGACAGGGGAGAGATCTGTATTGCTTGCATACAGACTTCTCCCCTGTCAGTGTTCCTCGGCGATCGCCGGGTGGCAGCAGGGAATCTACAGCCGGGACCCAGTGATTGCCAGCTGTAGCCGCCAATGGTGGTTACGCACGCCCCCTACCTGGAAATACTAAATCTTGTGTGTATATGTATGTATGTATATATATATATATATAATACAGTCAGGTCCATAAATATTGGGACATGGACACAATTCTAACATTTTTGGCTCTATACACCACCACAATGGATTTGAAATGAAACAAACAAGATGTGCTTTAACTGCAGACTGTCAGCTTTAATTTGAGGGTATTTACATCCAAATCAGGTGAACGGTGTAGGAATAACATTTTGCATATGTGCCTCCCACTTGTTAAGGGACCAAAAGTAATGGGACAGAATAATAATCATAAATCAAACTTTCACTTTTTAATACTTGGTTGCAAATCCTTTGCAGTCAATTACAGCCTGAAGTCTGGAACGCATAGACATCACCAGACGCTGGGTTTCATCCCTGGTGGTGCTCTGCCAGGCCTCTACTGCAACTGTCTTCAGTTCCTGCTTGTTCTTGGGGCATTTTCCCTTCAGTTTTGTCTTCAGCAAGTGAAATGCATGCTCAATGGGATTCAGGTCAGGTGATTGACTTGGCCATTGCAGAACATTCCACTTCTTTCCCTTAAAAAACTCTTTGGTTGCTTTTGCAGTATGCTTTGGGTCATTGTCCATCTGCACTGTGAAGCGTCCAATGAGTTGTGAAGCATTTGGCTGAATATGAGCAGATAATATTCCCGAAACACTTCACAATTCATCCGGCTGCTTTTGTCAGCAGTCACATCATCAATAAATACAAGAGAACCAGTTCCATTGGCAGCCATACATGCCCACGCCATGACACTACCACCACCATGCTTCACTGATGAGGTGGTATGCTTAGGATCATGAGCAGTTCCTTTCCTTCTCCATACTCTTCTCTTCCCATCACTCTGGTACAAGTTGATCTCGGTCTCATCTGTCCATAGGATGTTGTTCCAGAACTGTGAAGGCTTTTTTAGATGTCGTTTGGCAAACTCTAATCTGGCCTTCCTGTTTTTGAGGCTCACCAATGGTTTCCATCTTGTGGTGAACCCCTCTGTATTCACTCTGGTGAAGTCTTCTCTTGATTGTTGACTTTGACACACATACACCTACCTCCTGGAGAGTGTTCTTGATCTGGCCAACTGTTGTGAAGGGTGTTTTCTTCACCAGGGAAAGAATTCTTCGGTCATCCACCACAGTTGTTTTCCGTGGTCTTCCAGGTCTTTTGGTGTTGCTGAGCTCACCGGTGCATTCCTTCTTTTTAAGAATGTTCCAAACAGTTGTTCTGGCCATGCCTAATGTTTTTTTGCTATCTCTCTGATGGGTTTGTTTTGTTTTTTCAGCCTAATGATGGCTTGCTTCACTGATCGTGACAGCGCTTTGGATCTCATCTTGAGAGTTGCCAGCAACAGATTCCAAATGCAAATATCACACTTGAAATGAACTCTGGACCTTTTATCTGCTCATTGTAATTGGGATAATGAGGGAATAACACACACCTGGCCATGGAACAGCTGAGAAGCCAATTGTCCCATTACTTTTGGTCCCTTAACAAGTGGGAGGCACATATGCAAACTGTTGTAATTCCTACACACTGTTCACCTGATTTGGATGTAAATACCCTCAAATTAAAGCTGACAGTCTGCAGTTAAAGCACATCTTGTTCGTTTCATTTCAAATCCATTGTGGTGGTGTATAGAGCCAAAAATGTTAGAATTGTGTCCATGTCCCAATATTTATGGACCTGACTGTATATGTGTGTGTGTGTGTGTGTATATATATAACACACAGTATCTCCCAGAAGTGAATCCACCCCTCACATTTTTGTAAATATTTTATTCTATCTTTTCATGTGACAACACTGAAGAAATGACACTTTTGCTACAATGTGACGTAGTGAGTGTACACCTTGTATAACATGTAAATTTGTTGTCCCCTCAAAATAACTCAACACACCGCCATTAATGTCTAAACCGCTGGCAACAAAAGTGAGTTCACCCCTAAGTGACAAGGTCCAAATTGGGCCCAAAGTGTCAATATTTTGTGTGGCCACCATTATTTTCCAGCACTGCCTTAACCCTCTTGGGTATGGAGGTCACCAGAGCTTCACAGGATGCCACTGGAGTCTTCTTCCACTCCTCCTTGACGACATTACGGAGCTGGTGGATGTTAGACACCTTGCGCTCCTCCACCTTCCGTTTGAGGATGCCCCACAGATGCTCAATAGGGTTTAGGCCTGGAGACATGCTTGGCCAGTCCATCACCTTTACCCTCAGCTTCTTTAGCAAGGCAGTGGTGGTCTTGGAGGTGTGTTTTGGGGTCTGTATATAGCACATAGTGCCATATACAGAGTGCAGAGTTCAGGGGTGCGCTATGTGCAGAGTTCAGGGGTGCGCTATGTGCAGAGTTCAGGGGTGCGCTATGTGCAGAGTTCAGGGGTGCGCCTCGTACAGAGTGCAGAGTTCAGGAGTGCGCCTCGTACAGAGTGCAGAGTTCAGGGGTGCGCCTCGTACAGAGTGCAGAGTTCAGGGGTGCGCTGTGTACAGAGTGCAGAGTTCAAGGGTACGCCTCCTACATAGTTCAGGGGTGCGCTATGTACAGAGTGCCGAGTTCAGGGGTGTGCCTCGTACATAGTGCAGAGTTCAGGGGTGCGCTATGAACAGAGTGTCGAGTTCAGGGGGTGCGCTGTGTACAGAGTGCCGAGTTCAGGGGTGCGCTGTGTACAGAGTGCCGAGTTCAGGTGTGCTATGTACAGAGTGCCGAGTTCAGGGGTGCGCTGTGTACAGAGTGCAGAGTTCAGGGGTGCGCTGTGTACAGAGTGCCGAGTTCAGGGGTGCGCTGTGTACAGAGTGCCGAGTTCAGGGGTGCGCTGTGTACAGAGTGCCGAGAGTTCAGGGGTGCCCTGTGTACAGAGTGCCGAGTTTCAGGGGTGCCCTGTGTACAGAGTGCCGAGTTCAGGGGGGTGCCCTGTGTACAGAGTGCCGAGAGTTCAGGGGTGCCCTGTGTACAGACTGCAGTGTTGAGGAGTGAGCTACATACAGAATGCAAGGTTAAGTGGTGTACTATGCACAGTGTGGAGGGTTCAGCTCTCTTTCACAGCTGTCCACATATCAGCTCCACCCCTCCCCCCGGGGGTGAGGGCCACATGAAATGGCCCGGCGGGCCCGATTCGGCCTGCGTGCCTTGTGTTTTGACACATGTGACATAGAGGACCAAAAAATCCCCTGTGATACTATTTTGTAGTGACAGGTTCTCCTTAACGAGGCTTCATTAGCTTCCAGGTTCTTATTAGGTAGGGGAGATCAGCAAATGGATGTTCACTGATCTCCCTTCCCTCTACCTGGCAATGCCCACCATGCTGGTCCTGGGTCCACGGATGGGAACTCAGAGCCCAGTAAACACAGTGGGGGGAGGGGTGAAAAAGTTTTTTTTTTTTTTTGGATTATGAGGTTTTTTTTGTACCATAGCCTTATGTTTAAATGCTATTAACCCCGAATGTGTTGAGGCGTTCCAGGATCACACTTCAGAAGCCCAGTCATTAAATTGTGCTGGAAAAGCCGTGGCCCGTCTGTGTATTTATAGTGTGATGTTTCCGTAGCCATTGTGCTCAGTTCAGTTCGTCCTTCGCCAGGCGCTGTGGTTTTATATCATGCATTAATTTCTCCCAAAGGTCATAACGCAGTTTTCCGGAATCACTCTGAACAAGAAAGAGTCCACGAGCCCCGAGGAGAGTTCAGGTAATTTTTTTGATGCGCTGCTCTTAGGGAACTATATCAATTTTTTAAATTCTTTTCATTAACCCCTTGCCCTCCAGAGGATTCCCCCCCCACCCCTTCCTTCCTGACCAGGCCATTCTTTTTGCGTTACGGTGTTGCGTCACTTTTAAGTGACAATTGCGGTTTTTTTTTTTTGCGATATAAACAATAAAAGAACAATAGGCTAAAATGTATTCTGCTGCATGTCTTAGGTTACAAATCAAAAAAAAACCCCCACTGAGTGTATATTAACCACTTTGTGCGCCGCCTGGCCCTTTAAGGGTTTCAGAAGCTGGGAGGTGGGCGTGGTTTCACGGCGGTCACATGATCAAAAAAGGTCCCGATCGCGAGGGGATCGGGACCTTTCTGTGAGTCACAGACATATGTGCTGGGAGCACTCTCAGCTCATATGTATTTCTCCCTAATGGCACGCAAATATGTGTCCGCTCGGCGTCAAGGGGTTACCACTTGCCCTCCAGAGGGTTACTACCCCCCCCCAGGCCATTTTTTTTTGCGCTACGGCGCTGCGTTACTGTCAAGGTCCTACCTTTTCCCAGAGGTTTTGTTACTCCATGTGCTAGCATCCATCTTGGATTTCTGCTGAGCATGATGGGAATCTTTTATGCCTTCAGGTCTCTGAGGTCCATCCCCCAGAGGGGGCGTATTTGAGTACATATAAGCCTGGGAGCTGCACATGCTCTTTGCACTTGTGTCTTTTGTTCTTTGTCGATTGCTACAGCTCTGTGTATACACTCGTGACTCTTCTGGTATTCTGACAATCGGCTTGTGACTAAGACCATTCTCTGTGTTTCCCTTTGATCTGACCTTCCGTTGCTGAACCCGGCCCGTGACCTGTGATTCTCTGTCTACTGTATTCTGTTTTTTTTGTTATTGACCCGCTTGTCTGACTACGCTATCGTCATTCTCACCAGCTACACGCCATGGCGAGCGGCCATTACCGCAGCTGGGGTGTCTCGGGGGCCTCGACCTGGTCCCTGGTTGCGTCAAGTCCATCCCCACCATCAGGGGCCCTGGTGAAGGGCAGCCTGGGACTTAGACTCCGCGCCAGGAGGGACTTCAGTTGTTTTTTGGTTGTCGTCAGCCAGTGCTACCTCTGCCACTAGGCCTACCTGTCCGTTCCACAGCCCTGCCCTGACAGTTACATTTAACTAACAATTGCGCTGGTCATGCAGTGCTGCACCCAAATGAAATTTACATCCTTTTTTTTCCCCCCCCCCCCCACAAATCGAGCTTTCTTTCGGTGGTATTTGATCGCCTGTGCGGTTTTTATTTTTTTGCGCTATAAAAAAAAAAAATCGATAATTTTGAGAAAAAAAACAATATTTTTGACTTTTTGCTATTAAACATGTCCAGTAAAAAAAAATTTTAAAAATCCAATTTCTGCATAAATTTAGGCCAAAATGTATTCCACTTCAGGTCTTTGCTAAAAAAAAAAAAAAAAAAAAAAAAAATCCCAATACGTGTAAATTATTTGGTTTACGTGAAAGTTATAGAATTTACAAATGGCGGTATATATACTGGGCTTTTTTAAAATTTTTAGTAATGGCGGCGATCAGCAACTTCAAAACCGGACTGCGGCGGGCTTTCTGACCCTGGGGGGGAGCTGACTTGGTGTCACTGACATCCCCAGTGACACCAATATAGTGATCAGTGCTAAAATAAAAAAAAAAAAAAAAAAAAGCACTGACACTGTACTAATGGCATTGGGCAGGAAGGCATTAACATCTGGGGCGATCAAAGGGTTAACTGTGTGCCGTTTTATTATGTGCTGTGTTTTTGCTTCACTGTAACCACACTGCTTTGGATGGCTGTGCTGTGCAGTGTGCACAAGCTGACAGGGAGGAGAACTGTTTTTTTTTTTTTAACAAACAGTTCTCCTCCCTGTCGCAGATTCTCGGCAATCACCGGGCACCGGTGAGTAATTGCCGGCCGGGACCTGGTGATTGACAGCCGCGGGCGGCCGCTAATGGCTGCACGGGTAGGGCACGCACGCCCCCTACCCCGGAAATGCAAAATCACGTATATATACATGATTTTGCACACCCGTGCCGCCCTGTAGCAGTATTTCTACTATAGAGCAGACGGAAACGGTTAAATAAATGTAATTTCTCACATGGTGTTTATCTTCCGCTTTTTGTATTTTTTAATTATTTTTTTTTTAAGAAATTGTCATCTGTCGTGTTCCGGAAGGCGTCCCGATTGATATCACAGTGAAGATGATGCTGTGTTTGATTCACCTGAATATCCTAGAACCTGTTGGTGTGAGTCATTTTGACTATAAATCATTTATATTCCATTTTCTTTGTTTTTTTTGTTTTTTTTCTGCCCATCACAATACACACACAGTGCTATTCTATTATAATCGATCAGAAGATTCGACCTCGCTTACTGCAGAATATAGCCTAATGCAGCCTCTCTCAGCCTTTGTACCCCAGAGGAACCCTTCAGATTTTTAGGACTTGGGGAGCCCCTTCTAAAAGACAAGACAGCAATACATGAACACAAATGCGAGTCGTTAAGGCCCACCCCACGCTGCTGCATCGCTGTTGTAAAAAGTTAACAGTAATAATATTATTATTTTTTAATAAATATTTTATTAATTTTCAATATTTCAACTTAACATAAAAAAATTATCATATTATTCATATACCAAAAAAAACCCAAAAACTATTTCATTTAAACAATTCCCCTCCCAAACTCTGCCCCACCCCCTGCCCTAACCCTACCCCCCCCCACCCCCTGCCCTAACCCTACCCCGCCCACTGCCCTAACCCTACCCCGCCCATTGCCCTAACCCTACCCCCGCCCCCTGCCCTAACCCTACTCCACTCCGCCATCTGCCCTAACCCTACCCCGCCCCCTGCCCTAACCTACTCCCTACTCCACTCCGCCCCCTGCCCTAACCCTACCCCGCCCCCTGCCCTAACCCTACTCCACTCCGCCATCTGCCCCTAACCCTACCCCGCCCCCTGCCCTAACCCTACCCCGCCCCCCCTGCCCTAACCCTACTCCACTCCGCCATCTTCCCTTACCCCACCCTACCCCGCCCACTGCCCTAAACCCCACCCCGCCCACTGCCCTAACCCCACCCCGCCCACTGCCCAAACCCTACCCCACCCACTGCCCTAACCCTACTCCACTCCGCCATCTGCCCTAACCCTACCCCGCCCCCTGCCCTAACCCTACTCCACTCCACCATTTGCCCTAACCCCACCCCGCCCCCTGCCCTAACCCTATCCCACCCCTTGCCCTAACCCCGCCATCTGCCCTAACCCCGCCCCCTGCCCTAACCCTACTCCACTCTGCCATCTGCCCTAACCCTACCCCGCCCCCTGCCCTAACCCTACCCCGCCCCCTGCCCTAACCCTACCCCGTCCCCTGCCCTAACCCTTACCCACCCACTCTGTTCCCTATCTCTCTCGATGTTCTCTCTTCCCTAGCTTGCTGTTCCTCTATTTCTAATTTGTTCACGGGACTCCCTTCTCCTTCCTCCTAATCCACCTATCTCTCTTTAATTTGTCAATTTCCTCCTCCTTCTCCATCTCTTTCATTCAACACAACAAACACTTTTCTCCTGCGCTAGGAAAGGACTCAGTAGACCCAATAGGAATGTTCTGGAATTTTCTGGAATATGCACTGCTTGCTGCCCTCAACAGACCGGGGGTGGTCCAAATACACTGGATGCAAATGGAGAAACAGAAATAGGGCGCACTTTTTCTGTTTCTCCATCTCTTTCGTTATATGATTTTCTATAGATATCCCATTTTTTTTTCCACTTTTTTCCCAAAATCTCTCCATTTTTGTCCTCCTCCAAATGGCGGGGTTCCTCCATCAGTTTCAACAGTAATAATATCATATTTAGGAATCAAGCCTGCAACCCCTGTTTGCAGGCTTTATTTGTAAAGGAGGCCCATTGCACTCCTGAGACACCCAGCTGTGCTCAATTTCACCGAAAAGAGCTGGGCGTACCAGGTATGCCCTTAATATTTGGATAACATTATGCCACTACTGTACGTATTGCTGTTGTAGAGGGGTTAACATATTTGGGAATAAAGCCTGCAACTCCTGTTTGCAGGCTTCATTCATACAGGAGGCCCACTGAGCTCCTGAGACACAGATCAAGACCCAACTGTTGTCAATTTCACCGAAAAGAGCTTCATAAAGCCCTTTGTTTGCCCTTATTAATTACATTACACAGCAATTGAGGTCTTAAATAACATATTTGAATAATATCTGCACAAGGCTTCATTCATACAGGAGGCCCACTGAGCTCCTGAGTCACAGATTTTATTTATATTGAATATATTTAAATACTACTGCCATATTCAATATATGTTGAATACTGCATGTTGAAATGCATTTTTATATATTACAAAATATATGAAAAATATTTTTAAAAATATATATTTTTTAAATATATTCTTCAGATTTTTTTTTTTTTTAACATAAAAAGGTAATTTTTACATATATTTGTAAATGCATTCCAAAAATGTAGACGAAATGTATTTTTAAAGACAATTTTTGATTTTTTTTAATGAAAATTTTTCATATATTTTGTAATAAAAACCGCATTTCAACATACAGTATGTGTATATGTGTGTGTGTGTGTGCGTGTATATATTGAATACTGCCAAAATTTTAGTGTTTCAAATATTTGTTAATATATTTGAGAAGAATATTTTTAAAATATATTTAAAATATATTTTTGTTCCATGTGGGTACTGTGGTCTTAAAGGGGTTAACATATTTAGGAATCAAGCCTGCAACCACCGTTTGCAAGCTTCATTTATACAGAAGGCCCATTGCAAACCTGAGACACAGATCAAGACCCAGCTGTCAGTTTAATCGAATAGAGCCCTGGGTGTACAAGGTACACTCACATTTTTTTCGAAGACATTTTTTCAAGCCAAAGGTCTTGAAGTGGTTTAAATGGAAGAAATCACCAGGGTAGGAAAAGCTGGAAGCCTCATGTACGATTTGATGAAAGTGTTACTATATTGCATTGAATATAATGGCTGAAGCTTAAAATAGCCGGCATAAAAAGTATTCTCTCTGACTCTTCTTATTCATAAATATTCGGTCATCTTGTCTGTACCCATTGTTTATTTGATTATTGCATGATATAATTATAGGAAAACCTATGATTGTATATTATTCATTGGTCTTTTTTGTGATTTTTTTTTTTTTTTTTTTTTTTTTTCATAGCCGATGCTTACGTCCCTAATGGAGCAGAATCCGGAGGAAGTGGGGGATTTGTATCTAGACGTCGCTGAGGCGTATCTTGATGTTGGAGAATATAATTCTGCTTTGCCTCTCCTGAGCGCTTTGGTGTGTTCCGAAAAATATAATATGGCTGTGGTGTGGCTGCGCCACGCAGGTAAGTGGATGGAACTCAACTAACAGCAATGGAGCAGGACCTCCTTAACCCTTTCCCACATGGAAGAAAAATATATTTGAAATATATTTTAAAAATATTCTTCCCAAATATATTGCCATATATTTGAAATGCTACAATTTGGCCATATTCAATATATTTCAAAATACATTTCAATTAGAAAAAAAAAAAATAATATATATATATACTGCATGTTGAAATGCATTTTTATTACAAAATATATTAAAAGTATTTTTTAAAATACTTTTCAAAATATACTGTATGTCTTTAAAAATACAAATCTACATTTTTGGAATGCATTTACAAATATATGTAAACAATATATGTTAAAACTACTTTTTTATATGTTAAAAAAAATTCTAAAGAATTTTATTTAAAAAAATCTAAGAATATTCTTAGATTTTTTTAAATATAGTCTTCAGATTTTTTTTTAACATATAAAAAAGTCATTTTAACATATATTGTTACATATATTTGTAAATGCATTCCAAAAATGCATTTGTATTTTTAAAGACATACAGTATATTTGAAATGTATTTTTAAAAATAATTTTCATATATTTTTGTATATAAATATTATTTATATATAAATATATATATATATATATATATATATTTGGGAAGAATATTTTAAAAATATATTTCAAATATATTTATCTTCCATATGGGTTTACTGCATATGGCGGTGGCTACAAGGAGGCCTGTTGGCTGTCCTATGGAAGTGACAGTTGCTAGATTTCTTCAACTCACCCCTTTGAGTTCTTGTTCCCCCCTCATGCATGCCTCGCAAGGTTTCATAGGCTCCGTACGCCCACTGGCAGAACCGGGACCGGCATGACGGGTACTACCGGGTACAGGGGAGGGAGATCAGCAGACCTGGGACCGGATTGGTAGGTGCTGCCAGGTACAGGGGAGTGAGATCAGCAAAATGTTACCATGAATGGGCTTGGCAGGTGCAGACCCGGAACCGGCATGATGGGTACTGCTGGGTACAGATGAATACGCAAACATCAGCTGCCCCGGGAGCGGCATGGCAGGTACTGCCATATACAGGGAAGGGAGATCAGCAAACGTCACTGGGAACGGCATGGCAGGTGCAGCCAGGTACAGGGGAAGGAGATTAGGGAACGTCATTGGACCCAGGACCGGCATGGTGGGTGCTACCAGATACAGGGGAGGGAGGACAGTGGACCTGGGACTGGCATGGTGTGTGCTACCAGGTACAGGGGAAGGGAGATCAGCAAATGTCACCAGGATTAGCATGGCAGGTGCTGCCAGGTACGGGGGAGGGAGATCAGCCAACGTCACTGGGACTGGCATGGTGAGTGCTGCCAGGTACAGGGGAGGGAGATCAGCCAACGTCACCAGACCTGGGACCGGCATGGTGAGTGCTGCCAGGCACAGGGGAAGGATTTCTCCTCTTCCTGCTAATGAGCCAAAAGCGAAGTGCAAACATGACATTTTTCCCAGTCAGTATGTCCAGGAAGGAAGCTAATGGAACTCAATCTGTACTCCATTAGCTTTATTGGAAGGCAAGCGAGACATCTTTTAGACCCCTGATGTCTCTTTAAAGAGAACCTGTCGCCAAAAAAATCATATAGGGGATTTTTTGTAACGTGGAATAATCTCTTACAATCTCTGTACAGCAGAGCTCAGACTGGAGGAGGGGAAAGCAGCACATGGAGCCAATCAGTTGTGCTGCAGTACTAGTGTGGTTCAGGCTGAGGGTAAGACCTGTCACATGATCACTGATCCATGCCACACCCCCTTGCCCCCCCCCGGCATGGGATGTCAGGGCAGACAGGAAGGGGTTCACTGCAGCAGAGGACTAAAACAGGTCTTCTGCATTGTCAGACCTGTGCTGTGTGGCAGAGCTGTATAATTCTCAGGGTTGGATGGACAGAAATCCACATCCTTTGGCGGATTGCCTGAAGTTCTCCCTTAAGTCGAGGATTTGTCCTAACCAGCTCAGGTTTGTTTGCTTTAGCAAGAAAAATCTGGTTTGACTTGTAGATGTGAAGAATCCCTTTTTCCATCTGTAGTTATAAACTTGCAGACATATGCGGTACCAGGTACAGCCAGATTACAGCATTCCATGAGCCCATCTCTACCTGAAGTGGAAAAAATATAATATAGAGAGGAAAAATGAATGACATTTGGGTTAAATCAACAAGGTGGTGAGAAAGTTACAGGAAGGAGAGAGAGGCATGTATGAACAAATCCAAGAAAGTTCCAGAGGCCAAAAATCTGTCTGAGATCTATTTAAAGTGGGTTTAAACCTATGAAATGAAAAATGAACAAAGCACGTCCTTCTACCATGTTTACTTGCCTCAATCCAAAGCACTCAGTGTGATCTCTTCTCCTATCTCATTCCTTTGATATTTGCAGAGCCACTTCTGAGAGGTGATATCGACTCCAAAGGATCCAGGGCGCAGGAAGTTGCAGCACACAGACTGTGATTGACAGCCACAGCTGTGCATGTTTCCCTATGAGACTGTGTAGAAGGGATGTGTCCTTTTTCTCCACTCAGGTCTCAGATTATATTCAGCTGCCTAGGTCAGATCCCCGCCCCCTGCCTTCTGGAGCTCAGAAATGCTGTGTAAATTCTGGACAGATATAGAGGAGAGAGAGCTACAGATAAACATGTGCAACTTATGTAAGAGGATTTCTTTCATCTGTGTATCACCTGAGGCCATTCACTTCAATGGTAAATCAATATGTAAGGGTTTACCATCACTTTAACCCTTTTATCTCCATGTGTTGGTGATGGTGTTGGAGTTTAGACACTCAAGACTCAACGCGTTTTGCTGAAAAGCTTCATCAGGAAGGACACTACTACAGGACACACCAGTAAAATACGAGGCTGTACTGGCATGTTCTCCCTTTTGACTTGATGTATATACCAAGATGAATACCGTATTTTTCGCTCCATAAGACGCACCTAGGTTTTAGAGGTGAAAAACAAGAAAAAAAAATATTCTGAACCAATGGACTGCAGACATAGTACAGGGGATGACCAGAGACTGCGGACACAGTACAGGAGATGACAAGAGACTGCAGACATAGTACAGGGGATGACCAGAGACTGCAGACAGTACAGGAGATGACCAGAGACTGCAGACATAGTACAGGAGATGACCAGAGACTGCGGACAAAGTACAGGGGATGACCAAGAGACTGCGGACACGGTACAGGAGATGACCAGAGACTGCAGAAACAGTACAGGAGATGACCAGAGACTGCGGACACAGTACAGGAGATGACCAGAGACTGCGGACACAGTACAGGAGATGACCAGGGACTGCGGACACAGTGCAGGAGATGACCAGAGACTGCGGACACAGTGCACGGAATGACCAGAGACTGCGGACAGTGCAGGGGATGACCAGAGACTGCGGACAGTGCAGGGAATGACCAGAGACTGCGGACAGTGCAGGGAATGACCAGAGACTGCGGACAGTACAGGGAATGACCAGAGACTGCAGACAGTACAGGGAATGACCAGAGACTGCAGACAGTACAGGGGATGACCAGAGACTGCGGACAGTACAGGGAATGACCAGAGACTGCGGACAGTACAGGGGATGACCAGAGACTGCGGACAGTGCAGGGGATGACCAGAGACTGCAGACAGTGAAGGGGATGACCAGAGACTGCTGACCATTTTTGGGGAGGGAGGGGGAGCGGGTACCTGAATTTGACAGGTACCCGCTCCCACTTCCGCGGAGTTGCCTTCCCTCTTCTTCCCGGGCCGGCTTCTGTGACAGCCGGGTGCCCACTGCGCAGGTGCAAGAAGCGCTTCGCTTTGTGAATGGCCCGGCGCCTTCTGTGACCTTTCATGTGTCCCAGAAGACACCGGATCATTCACAAAGCGCAGCACATGCGCAGTGGGCACCCGGCTGTCACAGAAGCCAGAGCGGGAAGACTGTGCAGCGCTGGAGCGAGGAACAGGTAAGGCCGTGCAGGGGAGAACAGCTGAGCGGCCGGGCCCGGTATTCTGACATGGTGGCGGCAGAAATACCGGACCGGCCGCTTTACATTCGCTCCATAAGACGCACTGACATTTTCCCCCCTTTTTGGGGGGGAAAAAAGTGCGTCTTATGGTGCGAAAAATACGGTAAGTAGTTTGACCCTTGTGGCATATATGTGTGTGTGTGTGTGTGTATATGGTTTTTTTTACATCTGTTCCTCCATACTCCTGATGAAGCTTTTCAGCGAAACGCGTTGAGCCTTGACTTGGTCTGTATTCAGCTTGCAGGAATAATTCAGACCAAGAACTCAATTATTGTATGACATAGGATAAACTTAAAAATGTAGCAGATCAAGTCATCAAAGGCTTTTATTACATCCAGTTGGTTCCTTTTGAACGATGTAACTATGTTGGTGTATGCTATTTTACTATGACATTTTTTTTAACAGACTTGTAATATCAATTTTATTGAATATTCGGTGTTGCTGGTTTTGGACGCCACCAGAAAAGTCCCATATATTTCCTTTATTTTGTTCTGATTCGTCTTTTGTCTCAGACTGTCTGAAGGCTCTGGGTCATATGGAAAAAGCTGCGGAGAGTTACACCAAGGTGGTGGAAATGGCGCCATTACACTTGGATGCCAGGATCTCCCTTTCTACTCTTGAACAACAGTTGGGACATCCGGAGAAAGCTTTGGAGGCTTTGGAACCAATGTATGACCCAGATACATTAGCACAAGATGCCAATGCTGCCCAGCAGGTAGGAGGAACTTAGTGGCTTCACCCAATGTTTTCTTCTCCAGGCATGTTTCCATTGGAATGTGATACCAAGGTTGCCCAAAAAATGGTATATTGACATTAATAGGGTTGTAGATTAGAGTGTATGTCTTCATCGTACAGTATAGGCCACAGGCTTGGTATTCATAGACCCTGTGTTATATGCTCATACCTTCAGGTGATCGGACTCTGGTGAAGCTTTGAAGGACACGTCCCCTGGGCATCCTTCTATATAACCCTACCCCTCTCTGTGAGTCCTCAGTTCTTTGGACTTCTTTTCCTTCATGGAGAAATCACTCTTAGCCAACTAGTTTATTATTTTACTTTAGATCCTTCAATCAACTCCACACTATCTTCTAGAACCACAATAGGAGCCGTGCATCTGGATCGGTGCAGCCTCGGTCTAACCTTGGTCACCGTACCCAGACACACACTGTGTGGTCAGCCTGTAATGTTGCTTCGGACACTGGATACTGCATGGGCACTCACCTTGTGCAACGCGTTAAGTCATCCGCAGGTCCAGGGCCGTGGTCCATCCCTATGGAACCCAGACCCTGAAGAGCCATTTGGGGATATGCCCACCATGATGAGCAAAGCCCTGGACTTTTTTTCAGGGATCAGCATCCTGGACAGGTAAATTATGGTCCCCCTGTATACAGCACCATTATTGTAACCCTAAACACCAAGGACTGTGTTTCTTTTGTAGCGTAAACTTTTTCAAAACTGGTGCTAAAATCCAACCGCTCAGAGCTTGGTCTCAAAACTGGGGCTAAAATCCAACCGCTCAGAGCTTGGTCTCAAAACTGGTGCTAAAATCCAACCGCTCAGAGCTTGGTCTCAAAACTGGTGCTAAAATCCAACCGCTCAGAGCTTGGTCTCAAAACTGGTGCTAAAATCCAACCACTCAGAGCTTGGTCTCAGGTGGATGACCAGGTGTAACATCCAAACAAAAATCAGTTTTCCATCCTAGTTTGGGCATCGCAGTGTGTTGTGTATGGGGCTGTGTAGCTGCAAAGCGTTCCGGGTGCGCATACTGTCCAGTGTACACAGCCAAAAGTGCCTACAATGGGCACATGAGCATCAGAACTGGACCACAGAACAATAGAAGAAGGTGGCCTGGTCTGATGAGTTGTGTTTCCTTTTACATCATGTGGATGGCCGGGTGCGTGTGAGTCGCTTACCTGGGGAAGAGATAGTACCAGGATGCAGTATGGGAAGAAGACAAACCGGAGGAGGCAGTGTGATGTTTTGGGCAATGTTCTGCTGCGAAACCTTGGGTGCCAACATTCATGTGAATGTTCTTTGATACATTCCATCTACCTAAACATTGTGGGTGACCAAGTACATCCCTTCATGGAAATGGTATTCCCTGATGGCAGGGGCCTCTTTCAGCAGGATAATGTGCCCTGCCACACTTCAAAAATGGTTTATGAATGGTTTGAGGAACACAGCAGTGGGTTTGTTGGGGTCAAGCATTGACTTGACCTTCAAATTCTTCAGATCTCAATCCAATTGAGCAACTGCAGGATGAAAAACAAGTCCAATCCATGGAGGCCCCACCACGCAACTTACAGGACTTAAAGGATCTGCTATTGACAGTTTGGTGTCACACACCCCAGAGGTCTAGTGGAGTCCATACCTTGATGGGTCAGGTGCTGATTTGGCGGCAAAAGGTGGACCTTCTTAAAAATAGGTGGATGGTCATAAAGTTATGACTGATCGGTGTGGATACAGTATATATATATATATAATTTTTTTTTTATGCAGTACATTTATTTTTGGATGGCCGGTGTATATATTTGTACATAGTAATTATATCACCTCCTGAGGTTCATTTTTTCCTACAATGAATTTCCCGGACGGTCTGTCATCATCTCTTTCATAACACTCCTGTGTGTTTTCCATTTTTTCCTATTTTCAGAACTTTTTACAATGTCCTTGTGCTGGCACCCTCATTACATCACCAGGACATCTGTAATAATTCTTATCTGAAAACATTTGCTCTACGTTTGTGAGTTTGAACCACGCTTATTGGCTTCAAAGGATGGATGAAAGAATTCTGGAAAAAGCTTGTTTTGTTGTGTGACTCATTCTCCAGAAGTAATGGGATTGTCTGCATGAGGATTTGCCGGTATCCAAAACTCAAACTTCAGAATTACACTGAACCCCTTGGGAGAAAAAAATACTAGATACCAGGTGTTTTTAAAAGTTCAAGGCTAGGGTAACATTTGTGCCATGCAAGGATGTAGGCAAAAATCGCGTGCATCTCTTTTGCAGGTGCACATTGGTGCCATTAATTCTTAATGGAACCCTAACTAACATGCGTGTGAAAGTGCACGCCATGACATATGGATAGCGATCTAGTCACTCTGGGGTAAGGACATCTCTACAATCAAGCGGCATTTGGGCGAAACGCTTTAGGGTTGGACGGTCTGCAGGTGGGGTCTCCTTTCGTTTTCTGTGGTGGCATATAAAGTCGAGTGATGGCATCAGAGTGTGACCTTGTGTTCGGCTTGGTAAACCTGCAGGAAGGGCTGTTTTCTCTTGCCTATGCTAGTACTACTCTTGAAGTGGACCTGAACTCTAACATTGAAGATTTTCTGTTATAGGGACTATCTGGAAATGTTAATTGTGCCTAAGCAGTACCCTATAAAATCTACCTCTGGAATTGCTCCTGAAAAATGGTAATACACTTCCTGTGCCTAGACACACTGTGCCTTGGGCCTCATAGCTGCATATCTGCACTGTGAGATCTAAGGCACTCCTGCCTCTGGCTGCTAGTCTCACGGTTTTCCTTGCTGGAAGCTTTTGACAGGAGGAAACAAAGCCCTGCCTCTGCCAAGATGGCCACCCTTGAAAGATGGGAGTCACCAAAATTGAGATGTCCATGTAAAAAAACAAAAGAGAGAGCGCCAAACAATCGTTAAAGTTTAGATCTTCCCACACGTAAGCCAAGGATGAAGTCCCCCCTAAAACAGCCAATGCTGTTTAGGGGGGGCAAAGGCATCTCTTTACGCTTAATGCAAAAGTTCCTAAATATAAAGATCTTGGACTTTTGAGACGATTGTTTGGCGCTCTCTCTTTTCGTTTTTACATGGACATCTCAATTTTGGTGACTCCCATCTTTCAAGGGGAGGCCCACCTTGTGGGGAGCTGACAAAGCCAAGCCATTAGGCATTAGCTGGTGATTTCATGTTAAGGGTTAAGTATCCATGTCCAGCACCACACCCCATCTCTTTTTGTGGTACAGTGCAGAACAAGGCCTAGTAAGTCAGTAATGGGGAAAAAGATCAGCTGCAAGTGCACCCTAGGCAAAACTAGTGACCAGTTCTAGTCTTATGACCTCTGCCTGCCTTTTTTGGTGGGGCACAGCTTTCCGGGTTCATTTCTTTTAGAATGAACTGAAGGTGTGTGCTGTCCAATTGTGGGGGGAAGATATACACCATTGGTTTACTTTGAACATAACTAAGTGTTGTAGAACAAAACCCAAGCTCCTTCAGCTCCATTTTCCAAGGTCCCTTTGTGCATACAGGGTAATTGTGCTTGAGTAGCTTTCTGGCTTTCAAAAGACCTTTACATTAGAAGTCCCACCCAAGGTCCCTTGGTGCGTAGATGGTAACTATGGTTGAGTAGTCTTTTGGCTTTCAAATCGCATTTACACTAGAAGTCTCACCCAAAGTCCATTAAAGCATAGTTGGGAATTGTGTTTGAGTAGCCTTCTGGCTTTCAAATGACCTTTACATTATAAGCCTCACCTAAGGTCTTTTGGTGTGTGGAGGGTAACAATGGTTGAGTAGCCTTCTGGCTTTCAAATGACCTTTACATTGGAAATCTGGCCCAAGGTTATTTAGTTTGTAGACAGGAACTGTGGTTGAGTAGCCTTCTGCTTTTTAGGCGACCTTTACATTATAAGTCTCACCCAAGGTCCCTTGGTGCGCAGAGGGTAACTATGGTTGAGTAGCTCTTTGACTTTTAAACCTTTACATCAGAAATCTCAAACAAGGTCTCTTATGTATATGGGAACTGTGGTTGAGTAGACATCTGGCTTTCAAACGACCTTTACATTATAGGGCTCATCCAAGATCCCTTGGTGTGTGGAGATAACTATGGTTGAGTAGCCTTCTGGCTTTCAAATGACTTTACATTTTAAGTCTCAACCATGGTCCCTTGGTGTTTAGAGGGTAGCTATGGTTGAGAAGCCTTTGGGGTTTCAAATGACCTTTGCATTAGATGTCTTGCCCAAGGTCCCTTGGTACATTGAAAGTAACCGTGGTTGAATAGCCTTCTGGTTTTCAAAATATCTTTGGATTGAATGCCACTTCCTTCTAGACCATTCTACATGCGTAGTTAGGAACTGTGGATGAGTAGCCTTCTGGGTTTCAAACACCTTTACATTATAATTCTCTCAATTGTCCCTTGGTACATCAAAGGTAACTATGGTTGAGTAGCCTTCTGGCTTTCAATGACCTTTACATTGGAAATTTTGCCCAAGGTCCTTTAGTGCATAGATGACAACTGTGGTTGAGTAGCCTTCTTCATTCAAACAACCTTTACATTATAAGTCTCACCCAGGTCCCTGGATGCGCAGAAGGTAACTGTGGTTAAGTAGCCTTCAGGCTTTCAAACAACCTTCACATTTTAAGTCTCAAACAAGGTCTCTTAGTGTGTATATGGGAACTGTGTTTGAGTTGTCTTCCAGCTTTCAAACAACGTTTATATTATAGGGCCCATCCAAGGTCCCTTTGTGTGCAGAGATCACTATGGTTGAGTAGCCTTCTGGCTTTCAAATGACCTTTTACATTAGAAGTCTCACCAAGGTCTTTTAGTGCGTAGATGTGAGTAGCCTTCAGGGTTTCAAATGACCCTTTTACATTAGAAGTCTTCTTTTAGTGCGTAGATGTGAGTAGCCTTCAGGGTTTCAAATGACCTTTACATTAGAAGTCTCACCCAAGGTCTTTTAGTGCGTAGATGTGAGTAGCCTTCAGGGTTTCAAATGACCTTTACACTTTAAGTCTCAGCCATGATCCCTTGTTGTTTAGAGGGTAACTATGGTTGAGTAGCCTTTTGGCTTTCCAAATTACCTTTACATTTGAAGCTTTTCCCAAGGTTCCTTGGTACATTGATAGCAACTGTGGCTGATTAGCCTTTTGGCTTTCAAGCGACTTTCACATTGTAAGTCTTATCCAAGGTCTCTTAGTGTGTAGAGAGTAACTGCGTTTGAGTAGCCTTCTGGCTTTCAAAACATTTTTGGATTGAATGCCACTCCCGTCTAGACCATTCCACACAATAAAAAAACCCTGCAGAGGTTCTGATTCTTCTAGGCTATCCAAACTTGAACAAAGTTTGAGCTGCAGCTACACTTTTGTTATTGTTACAAGTTCTTTATTTTGTTCTTTCACTCTTTCCACAACTTATTGAGTTGGTCAATTTGATTTACAAACGTATTCATTTTTTTTTCAGGAACTTAAGCTTCTTCTGCATCGGTCAACACTTCTCTTCTCTCAGGGAAAGATGTATGACTATGTGGATACTTTACTCACCATGCTTGCCATGTTGCTGAAGGTGAGTGTTTATTGGAGAAGGAGCTCCAAGATCATCACATTTTTTTTTTTTTTTTTAAACCAAAAACCATTGGTAACCAAAATTCTGTTAGTGTAGATTTAAAAAATTTAGTGATCAGAGGAGTTTGAAGTTAAATGCTCCTTCCATGTTTTTGTTTATGGTGTCATCATTGTACACATTGACTGTAGAGGCATACTCCCCAACATTTGTAGAGAGACCGACTGTGGAAGGTTGAACTGTAGGATTTCAAAACTGCCCCAAATAACACTTACAAAAATTACACAAATGTCCATGGTCATGAAACATTGTGCACTGAACAGGTTCATGGGGATAGAAACTGCCGTTGCTTTATGTTGTGCAGAGCTAACCATAAACCTGTTCTGAAGACGTTTGCTGGAAGAGTTTGCAAACCATTTCCACAGTGTTGGAAATGCAAAATTGTCAAAAATGTATGAATTGTAATGTTACAAAAAAATTATTAAAAATAACAATAAAGGAAATTTAAAAATTACAAAATAGTACATTACGCAGATGTCCAGGTTTGAAATATTGTGCATTTGACAACCGTCACTTGATGATGGTGAGCAAACTTCTATGTCAAAACGTCCTGTGAGCAAGTGGTTATACCAGGATAATGGCTTCAGTTCAGCCTTAATCCCTTCTACTGTTTTTCTCAGCGGGTGATCAATGTCTTTGTAAAAGTGATCACTTTTAAAGCATTTGGAAGTGTGTGTCGTCCCACCCCCCCCCCCCCCCCCCCCTTTGCCGGTGTCCATGGTGGTTCCAGGGATCTCCCATTCCTTCGGGGAGTCCAGGACTGCGGTATTTGGTCAGGATCTGTGAACACAGAGGAGATGCCTTTCTGGTACAGACAGAGAAGCAGCTAACCAAACACTCACTCTGTACTTTGTTAGCTGCTTTGGAGAGCAGGAGAGATATCAGGGGTCTAATAGACCTTTGATGTCTCCATGAAGAGATACCCATCACCTACTTAAAGCTATCACAAGGGGGCATGTTCTAAGGCCCTAATTTATGATTAACTCAAACACTGTAAAGGCTTTTAAAGTGTCATCTGTGGACAGTTTTAGGTACTGTGGTTGATCACCATTTCGAATGTGCGCACACTTTCAAATCTTGACATGCTGGAACAGAAAAGAGCCTTCCTCAAACCATTGCCACATGGTTGGAAGAGCACAATTGTGGAAAATATCCTTGTATACTCTAGTATTACCAGGACCCATCCACTGGAAACACCTGGACTGTCCACAAATTCCACTCAAGTAGCTCCCACTTCTTCATTCCTTGTCTTGGTGAGAATAAGAGCACCTTGGTCTGCCCCATCCTAGGAGGATGCAGGACCAGTCCCTTGGTAGAACGTATCTTGTGCATACTTAGTACAGAGCTGACCTTGAGCCAACAGGAATTGACAGCAGGATCCCAAAAACCAAGATGGCACACGGACGAACGGGCAACTTAAAAAGCTTTGGCTGAATAGATAACAGTGCTGGACTGCATAGACTTATAAGTATCTATTTCTTAATTTAAACATTCCCTGCTGACATTTCTCTTTAACTCTTCCCCTAGAGTTCAGATTCATTATGTTATCTGGACTCCCAGTGGGATTACATTGCCCAGTGTGTTTATCTCTAATCCTTTAATATAAAAAAAATACTCAGTGGTCTTGACAGCAGAACTGTTCCTGATGCATTTTTTTTTTTTTGAAAGGGTGACAACGCTCTTCCTCTGCTATGTAAAGCCATTGCAATATTGTCACCATAGCTGTGCCAGCTGGATGATGACGTCAGCGTGGCTAAACGACCTTTTACTGCTGATAGACCAATTTCTATGTAGTCATTCAGTTGCGTGCAACACCTACCCCTCACACATGCTTATAAGTAATGCACCCCCCCCCCCCCCCCCCCCCCCCCCCCCCCCCCCCCCCCCCCCCCCCCCCCCCCCCCCCCCCCCCCCCCCCACCCCCCCCCCCCCCCAACCCCCCCCCCCCCCCCCCCCCCCCCCCCCCCCCCCCAAAACCCCCCCAACCCCCCCCCCCCCCCCCCCCCCCCCCCCCCACCCCCCCCCCCCCCCCCCCCCCCCCCCCCCCCCCCCCCCCCCCCCCCCCAACCCCCCCCCCCCCCACCCCCCCCCCCCCCCCCCCCCCCCCCCCCCCCCCCCCCCCCCCCCCCCCCCCCCCCCCCAACCCCCCCCCCCCCCCCCCCCCCCCCCCCCCCCCCCCACCCCCCCCCCCCCCCCCCCCCCCCAACCCCCCCCCCCCCCCCCCCCCCCCCCCCCCCCCCCCCCCCCCCCCCCCCCCCCCCCCCCCCCCCCAACCCCCACAACCCCCCCCCCCCCCCCCCCCCCCCCCCCCCACACCCCCCCCCCCCCCCCCCCCCCCCCCCCCCCCCCCCCCCCCCCCCCCCCCCCCCCCCAAAACCCACCCCCAACCCCCCCCCCCCACCCCCACCCCCCCCCAACCCCCCCCCCCCCCCCCCCCCCCCCCCACCCCACCCCCCCCCCCCCCCCCCCCCCCCCCCCCCCCCCCCCCCCCCCCCCCCCCCCCCCCCCCCCCCCCCCCACAGTTCAAAATCTGGAGAACGACATTTGTATCTAATAAAAGTGTCAAGAGATAAAATTTCTGCAAGTGATGAACAGGAGACTGCAACTTCTGACGCAAAAGGTAAAGAAGTCGTACTAATTTCGGTGTTTAACGCTCTCGACTGGAAGTTACTGATAGAATGGAGCAATTTTTTATATTTCCACTATGGGCCTGATTAGATCTGACCTTCGGCCTTCCGCTTCAGTCTTGCACAGTGTACAGGCTTCACTCCTGGACTGAAATGGGCCTACTCTGATTTCACTGCACACTGTGAGCTTCTCACAATGTGCATTAGAAGCTGCAGCAAGTCAGATAGAACCCATGTGTGATGCTGAGCTTCCTTAATTGAAAGAACTGAAATCTATTGAATGAAATAGCTGGGCCAGGGACAGTCAGGCTGGGGAGGAAATGTCAGGATGATGCTGGATGTCTTCCAGCCAGGAAATAAGGCAGCCCCTATCTTCCTTGCTGCAGAATATAATCCACATTGTGAGAAGTTTTAATTGCCATTATATGCAGAACAAAGGTCCCTCAATTGTTCCTTCCACCATCACATGTAGATTAAAGGTCCCTCAATGGTTCCTTCCTTCATCACATGTAGATTAAAGGTCTCTCAGTGGTTCCTCCCACCATCTGATGCAGATCAAAGGTCCCTCCGTGGTTCCTCCCAGCATCAGATGCAGATTGAATATACCTCAGTAGTTCTTCCCACCATCATATGCAGATCAAAGATCCCTCTGTGGTTCCTTCCACCATCAGTTGCAGATCAGAAGTACCTCAGATCATGAGGTACTTTGGGACCTTTGATCGCATGCAGATCAAAGGTCCCAAAGTGGTTCCTCTCACCATCACATGCAGATCAAAGGTCCCTCAGTGGTTCCTCTCACATTCATATGCGGATTAAAGGTCCTTCAACGATTCCTTCCACCATCACATGCAGATCAAAGGTCTCTCGGTGGTTCCTCTCACCATCATATGCAGATAAAAGGTCCCCTCAGTGGTTCCTCTCACCATCATATGCAGATCAAAGGTCCCTCAGTGGTTCCTCTCACCATCATATGCAGATCAAAGGTCCCTAAGTGGTTCCTCTCACCATCATATGCAGATAAAAGGTCCATCAGTGGTTCCTCTCACCATCATATGCAGATCAAAGGTTCCTAAGTGGTTCCTCTTGCCATCACATGTAGATCAAAGGTTCCTGAGTGGTTCTTCTCTCGCCATCACATGTAGATCAAAGGTCCCTAAGTGATTCCTTTTGCCATCACATGCAAAGCAAAGGTCCCTCAGTGGTTCCTCCTACAATCAGATGTGGATCAAAGGTTGCTCTGTGGTTCCTCCCGCAAGCAGATACAGATCAAAGGTCCCTCAGTGGTTCCTACTACTGTCAGATGCAGATCAAAGGTCCCTCCGTAGTTTCTCCCACCACCAGATGCAGATCAAAGGTCCCTCAGTGGTTCCTCCTATGTACCCCTACATATCTGTTATGTCCTGTAGTGACGTGAAGGTCAGCGGGAGGAGGAACCACTGATTGGAGCAAAAGACCAGGAGATCAACACTTTATGACATAATTGGGGGTGGGTGGGTAAGTGACCACTTTTCAATAGAGCACTTTTCAGCAACATGGGCAGTCGGAGAGGTAAGTACTTCTTTGCCTTAAAAAAAAATTAAGTTCAGCTCAATGACAGGGTCACTTTAACTGAAGTTGTCACCTGGTGGCATTTGAACATGTAGGAGTCCTAGAATAGCATTTTTTCTGCTTTCCTGTTCCCCATAGCAATCTTCACTGTACTGACCAGCGTGCTCAACAAGGACGACTGGTGGAATCTCCTTCTAAAAGCCATTTACGCCCTTTGTAACCTCAGCCGATATAAAGAAGGGGAGCTGCTTGTCGATTCCTCCCTGGAATATTATTCCTTTTATGATGACCGGCAGAAAAGGAAAGAGCTGGAATATTTTGGCCTCTCCACTGCTATTCTTGACAAGAATTTCAGAAAGGCGTACAACTATATAAGGTACATTATAAGCCTGATTCCAAACTGCAATATTATAATAATCTGTTTATTTTTCAAATTCTAACTATAAATATGATCGATAACTAGGCACCAGGGGCAGACTGACAACTCATGGGGGCCCCCGGGCAATTGGGGATCATGGGGCCCTTGTGTCCTTGCCCACACTCAAAACACACCCAAAAAAGCCTATAAAAAAGGTACCAGGGGCATTTTATGGGGCCCCCTACTGACCCCGGGCCCTCGGGTAGTGCCCGAGTTTTTCCAGATGGTCAGTCTGCCCCTGCTAGGCACTCTTAAAGCCTCAAGTGATTCTAAGGTCTCATGCACACTAGAGAAGCTAAAAAATCGCTTTAGAAACGTGGGATTTTTCTAAAGCCACAGGATTTTCCCTCTAACAACTAAATGTAATGAAAACATTTTTAAATAATTGCCGACAAATCAGAAAAAAAAAATGTGAATAAAACAACGTGGGGGGTCCCCCCCCAATCCATACCAAGCCCTACGGGTCTGGTTTGGATTTTGAGGTGAACCCCCACGGCAAATTTTAAAAAAAATGGTGTGGGGGGTCCCCTCCCAAAATCCATACCAGACCCTTTTCCAAGCATGCAGCCTATCTGGTCAGGAAAGTGGGGGGGATGGACGGACGAGTGAGTGCCCAGACCCCCCCCCCCCGAACCATACCAGGCAACATGACCTCAACAGGGGGGTTATAGTTTGTTGCCCATGGTGATGAGGACAAGGGTCTCCAATGGTTGTGAGGGTCTGCAGGTGGTGGGCTTCTAGATCTGGAAGCCCCTTTTAACAAGGGGGCCCCCTGATCCCAGTCCCCCTTCCTATGTGAATGAGTGGGGGTACCCCTACTCGTACATCAAAAAAATAAAAAACACAACATAATTTTTGACATGTCCTTTATTAAAAAAAACAAAAATCAATCGTCAATCACGAAGCCAGCCACCACCCGCCAAAAAAAATAAATCCCTCCGGTCCCACTGTCTGACAGCGCTTAACCACTTGCCTACTGGCCACTTATACCCCCTTCCTTACAAGGCCAATTTTCAGCTTTCAGCGCTGTCGCACTTTGATTGACAATTGCGCGGTCATGCAAGATTTATACCCCATATGAAATTTGTATCATTTTTTTTCTTACAAATAGAGCTTTCTTTTGGTGGTATTTAATCGCTGCTGGGCGCTTTACTTTTTGCGCTATAAACAAGAAGTGTGCAAAAAATGTAAAATTTTTCAAACAGGTAATTTTTCTCCTTCACTGATGTGCGTTAATGAGGCAGCACTGATGGGCACTGATAGGCGGCACTGATAGGCAGCACTGAAGGGCACTGATAGGCAGCACTAATGAGGTGTCACGGATAGGCGGCACTGATAGGCAGCGCTAATGAGGTGTCACGGATAGGCGGGCACTGATGATGGGTACTGATAGACAGCACTGATAGATGGCACTGACTGGCGCAACTGCTGGGCACTGACTGGCGCAACTGCTGGGCACTGACTGGCGCAACTGCTGGGCACTGACTGGCGCAACTGCTGGGCACTAACTGGTGCAGCACTGGTGGGCACAGGTGGGTGGCACTGGTGGGCACAGGTGGGTGGGCACAGGTGGGTGGCACTGCTGGGCACAGGTGGGTGGCACTTTCTGGGCACTGGTAGGTGGCACTGGTGGGTGGCACAGGTGGGCACTGCTGGGCACAGGTGGGTGCACTGCTGGGCACAGGTGGGCGGCACTGCTGGGCACAGGTGGGCGGAACTGGTGGGTTGCGCTGCTGGGCACCGATCATCAGCGCACTAATCATCAGTGCCCTGATGATCGGTTGCCAATCCCTGCTCTGACAACTGCCGGTTCCCGGCAGTACTTTCCTCACGCTCTGACAGCGTGAGGAAAGTTCAGCCGAGAACCGGCAATTGCATTTCCTGGCGTGTCATTGGACATGGCTGATCACGTGTTTAAAAGGCCGCTGTGATTGGCCTTTTACCACATCACGTGATCAACTGTGTCCGTAGGACACAGCAATCACGGAGATCGCCGGGGGCGCGCAGGAGAGCGCGTTCTGGGAGGAACGTCATATGACGTCCTCCCAAACTTAGCCAGCCGCAGTGAAGGTTATTCAGCTATCTGCAGTTGGCAAGTAATTAAATAACCAAGGGGTGGGGCCATCCAGTGATGTCACAAGGGGGCGGGGTCTCCCGCTGACAGCTGATGACTCATCCATTGTTGAGGACAGGGTGGCTGGCTTCCTTACCCTCTCCTTAATAACCAGTGAAAAAGAAAAAACTACGGGTGCCCAGCGTTTAGCAGATTTTGGGAGAATTTAGTAGCGTTTAGGAGCGGTCAGCTTTTCATGCAAAAACACTGCTGCTCCTGAACTGGTTCCCTATGTTCTTTTTCCTGCTGTTAAACGCTACTCGCTACTAATAGCTTCTAAACATCTGTGTGTACACGGACACATAGGATAACATGGAGGGCCATTTGGAAGCAGTATAAAAAAAAAAAAAAAAAAAGGGCCGACGCCCCTAAAAGTGGGGCTGCAATAATGCCCTGTGAATGAGGCTTCACTTGCCAACCGCGCGCATAGCCGAATGACGGCTGCACACCGCGGCCGGCTAGTTCTGGGTGGACGTCATATGACGTCCTCCCAGAACGCGCCTCTCCTGCGCGCCCCAGGGGGCGCGCACCCGCGGATCTCCGTGATCGCTGTGTCCTACGGACACAGCTGATCACGTGATGATGTGGTGAAAGGCCGATCCCACCGGCCTTTTACACCGTGATCAGCGGTGTCCAATGACACGCTGATCACAGGAAAATGCAAGTGCCGGTTCTCGGCTGCACTTTCCTCACGCTGTCAGATCGTGAGGAAAGTACTGCCGAGAACCGGCAGTTGTCAGAGCGGGGGATCGGCACCGATCATCAGGGCACTGATGATCAGTGCCCTGATGATCGGTGCCCAGCAGTGACCCCCGCAAGTTCCTCCCAGCAGTGCGCCCCACTAGCCCCGCCCACCCTTGCCCAGCAGTGCCCCCACCTGTGCCCAGCAGTGCCCCCACCTGTGCCCAGCAGTGCCCCCACCTGTGCCACTCTGCAGTGCCACCTACCTGTGCCCAGAAGTGCCACCTACATGTGCCAGCAGTGCCACCCCACCTGTGCCCACCCACCTGTGCCCACCAGTGCCACCCACCTGTGCCCACCAGTGCCACCCACCTGTGCCCACCCACCAGTGGTGCCCACCAGTGCCGCCCACCAGTGCAGCCCAGCAGTGCTGCCAGTCAGTGCCACCAGTCAGTGCCCAGGGGTTGTGCCAGTCAGTGCCGCCAGTCAGTGCCCAGAAGTGATGCCAGTCAGTGCCGTCTATCAGTACCCATAATCAGTGTCACCTATCAGTGCCGCCTATCAGTGCTGCATATCAGTGCCGCCTATCCGTGACCCCTAATTAGTGCTGTCTATCAGTGCCGCCTATCCGTGCCACCTCATTAGTACTGCCTATCAGTGCCCTTTAGTGCTGCCTATTCAGTGCCCATCAGTGCCGCCTATCAGTGCCCATCAGTGCCGCCTCATCAACGCAAATCAGTGAAGGAGAAAAAATACCTGTTTGAAAAATTTTATAAAAGAAACAAAAAAACTTTTTTTTTTTTTCAAATTTTTTGCACTTTTTTTAATTTTATAGCGCAAAAAGTAAAGCGCCCAGTGGCGATTAAATACCACCAAAAGAAAGCTCTATTTGTGAGAAAAAAAATGATCAAAATTTCATATGGGTACAATGTTGCATGACGGCGCAATTTGTCAATCAAAGTGCGGCAGCGCTGAAAGCTGAAAATTAAAAGTGCTGATCAGGCAAGTGGTTAATTAAAGCTGATCATTGGAAGCACCCCTGTCAGCGGTAAATGGTTTGTCTCAATCCTCTAACTGCCATTTTTACTCCTCCCCTCGAGAAGGCGCTCTGCTATGCCTGTGCCCAGGCTGTGTGCAGTGTGGGATGGGAGGAGGAGCTCAGCGGGTCGAGCACACCCACATGGAAGAAAAATATATTTAAAAAATATTCTTCCCAAATATATTGACAGTATTATAGTATTTGAAATACTACAATTTGGACTATATTCAATATATTTAAAATAATAAATAAATGAAAAAAAAAATCTATATATTATATATATATATATATACACTGTATGTTGAAATGCGTTTTTATTACAAAATATATGAAAAATATATAAAAGAAATACATTTTCAGATATACTGTATGTCTTTAAAAATACATTAAATCTACATTTTTGGAATGCATTTTACAAATATATGTAAAAATGTAAGTATAAATTACTTTTTAATATGTTAAAAAAAAAAAAGCTGAAGAATATATTTAAAAAAATGTGTTTAGAAAAATATTTTTCATATATATTGTAATATATAAAAAATGCATTCCAACATGAGGTATGTGTGTGTGTGTGTATATATATCAGGGGCGGACTGACCATTTGGAAACTCAGGCACTGCCCGAGGGCCTGGGGTCAGTAGGGGCCCCATGACATGGCCCTGGTACCTTTTTCATAGGCTTTTTGAGTTTGGGCAAGGACACAGGGGCCCCATGATCCCCTATTGCCCGGGGCCGCCCCATGAGTTGTCAGTCCGCCCCTGATATATATATATATATATATACACACGCTGCATGTTGAAATGCAGTTTTTACATATTACAAAATATATGAAAAATATTTTTCAAAATACATGTTTTTTTAAATATATTCTTCACCTTTTTTTTTAACATATATGAAAAAGTAATTTTAACTTATATTTTTACATATGTTTGTATATGCATTCCAAAAATGTAGATTGGATGTATTTTTAACCATTTCAATACCGGGCAATTTTTTACACCTTCCTGCCCAGGCCAGTTTTCAGGTTTTCAGCGCTCTCACACTTTGAATGACAATTGCGCGGTCATACAACATTGTACCCAAACTAAAATTTTATCATTTTCTTCACACAACTAGAGCTTTCTTTTGGTGGTATTTAATCACCGCTGGGGTTTTTATTTTTTGCTAAATTAACAAAAAAAAGACCAAAAATGTTGAAAAAAAACATGTTTTTTTTCTTTGTTTCTGTGATAAAAGTTTACAAATAAATAATTGTTCTTCATAAATTTAGGCCGAGATGTATTCTGCTACATGTCTTTGGTGAAAATAACCCAAATTAGGATGTATTATTTAGTTTGTAGGAAAGTTATAGAGTTCACAAACTATGGTATAATATCTGAATATTGATCAATCCTGAAGTACTGACAGCCAATCTAATTTCTTGAGGTCCAAGAATGTTAGAATAGTACAAATATCCCCAAATGACCCCTTTTTGCAGAGTAGACAGTCCGACGTACTTCATAAGAGGCATGGCGAGTTTTTTGAAGTTGTATTTTTTTTGTCATAATTTTTCGGAAAATTAAAAAATTAAAAAAAATTATTTTCACTTTTTTTTTTTACATACTGTCACCAGTGCAGTACAGCGTCATCATATAACTGGCATGGCGGTGAACAGGGACACTGACTGGTGACAGTATGAAAAAAAATATATATTTTTTTTTTATTTTTTTTTTATTATTTTTAATTTTTTATTACATTTTTTTAAAAATTTTTTTAAGATTTTTTTTTTTCATATTTTACTATGACCAAAGTAGTACAATGTTACCATAGTAAGATTGTACTACTTTGGGGAAGTGATCAGTATTTTTTTTTTTTTTCTTTTTACACAATTTGCTTATAGCAAAGAATTACTTTGTTATAAGCAAGCATTTACCTGAATGACATCGATTCATTCAGGTTTTTTTTTTTTTTTTTTGTGCTTAGCTGTGATTTGGTCACAGCTAATCACATGACGTGACCATTCACAGCTAGGCACTAGTATACAATGGATGGCATGAATGAAGCCATCCATTGTATACAACTGTCATGTGACCTGCTGTGATTGGTCACAGCAGGTCACATGGTACCAGCAACGGGGGCCGGTACTCAGATCTGTCATTGGCCGTGTCCGAGGTACACGGCCGGTGACAGATCGCGCCGCTGTGCGGCTCTGCATTAGCGCAAACTGCGCATGTGCGGGAGCACGCCAAATGGCGTGCACCCGGAATGCCGAAGCACTTTTGAAGCCGCCAAACGGCCATTGGCCGGGTGGCTAATGGTTAAAAATACATTAAATCTACATTTTTGGAATACATTTTACAAATATATGTAAAAATGTAAGTTTAAATTTTTTACTTTTTAATATGTTAAAAAAAAAAAGCTGAAGAATATATTTAAAAAAAATGTGTTTAGAAAAATATTTTTCATATATATTGTAATATATAAAAAATGCATTCCAACATGAGGTATGTGTGTATATATGTGTGTGTGTATGTATGTATGTATATATATATACACACGCTGCATGTTGAAATGCAGTTTTTACATATTACAAAATATATGAAAAATATTTTTCAAAATACATGTTTTTTTTAAATATATTCTTCACCTTTTTTTTTAACATATATAAAAAAATAATTTTAACTTATATTTTTACATATATTGGTAAAATGCATTCCAAAAATGTAGATTGGACGTATTTTTAAAGACATACAGTATATTTTGAAAATGTATTTTTAAAAAAATATATTTTTTATATATTTTGTAATAAAAACACATTTCAACATAATAAAAAAATAAAAAAAAAAAAAAATAATATATATATATATATATATATATATATAATATATATATATATATATATATATATATATATATATATATATTATATATATATATATATAATTTATTTTTTTTTAGTACGACCAAAATTATAGTATTTCAAATATATGTCAATATATTTGGGAAGAATATTTTTAAAACTATACTTCAAATATATTTTTCTTCCATGTGGGCAGTGGGGAAGGGGGCAAAACCGTAATCTCTCGAAAGCTCAGCACCCTCCTTTCCCTAGATCCGGCCATGGTAAAGGGCCATGGCGGGTGGATGGGTGGGAAGGAGTTAATGATCCAGGTTTCTGAAATTGCGCTGGAATTCCACCATGTGTCTGATCAAAAGGAGCTCAGAACAGTGCGCAGGTCGCTTCCTATAAACGCTCTATCATTAACATTCTCCGATCTTTCTGCTGAAGTTCCAGGAGATTCCCGGAACTGGAGATGATGCAGATAATTGGGACAGCTCAGTGCTTTGAGCAGCAAAACCTTCTACTGAGGAACCCCGCTATGATCTATACAGGAAAAAAGTAACATTGTATCTAAATGATGAATATACAAACCTATGCAAGAGGCTGCGGGTGTCAAACTGGCGGCCCTCCAGCTGTTGTCAAACTACAAGTCCCATGAGGCATTGCAAGATTGACAGTTACAAGCATGACTCCCAAAGGCAGAGGCATGATGGGACTTGTAGTTTGGCAACAGCTGGAGGGCCGCCAGTTTGACTCCCCTGCAATAGGCAGAATGTGGGCAACAAATTCTGTGAGACTTCAGCATGCTGATTTGCTTCCCAAAACCTTGATAAATATTCTGAAATTGTATCAGACGGATCCTCACACTCAGGCGCCGGTCGCTCTATGACGCGCGATGTCAGGCGTAACGCATATACTTTTGTGCATTGTTGTGCTATATGCATAGAGCAGCCCATTCATTTCTCCCCATTTCCTTGCAAGTGGTTGAGTATTCTTTGGAAAAGTTCTTGTTCACCTGGCTTCACCTCATTCACCAACCTAAGTGAAATTTCATTACTTTAGTAAATCAACCCCATAGTGAGAGATCCTGCAAAGTGGGACTTCACTCTCTCTCACCATAAACTATTTTTAATCCTTATGCCGCTAGCATTCGTAAATAGATAGGAAGGTAAATTATGTTTACTTGTTTTAAACTTTCTTTTACATTTCTTCAGCTGCTTTCTGGCCTAGGGCGAAATTCTGCCACATAGAATCCCTACCTCCAGGACGAAACGCGTTGGGGAGGGGCATGGCATGGTTGGAACTAGGCTGAGACTGCTATCGCCTATATGACCGTCGGGTTTGTTTGGAGTACGGCGTTTGGGACTCTTCTTTCTTTTTTCAGACAGATCATATATATATATATTATTTTTTTTTATAATTAAATTTTTTTGGAATATTGAATACGGCCAAATTTGTAGTATTTCAAATATATGTCATGGGTCTCTCCACATCGAGCCAGCCCCCACTGGGCTTGGATTCAGGAGCCTGAGCGGCAACTCAAACTTTCATTTAGGCCAAAATGAAGTCCTATGCCCCAGGAGTCTTCATGGGAGGAGTGGTTTTCTCACCTAAGCACACCCTCCTGCCTGCATGCCTGAGCTAAGGGCTGATGATCCACGTTGCATTTACTTTCTGGAATCCATCTGCCCTTAGTTCGGGCATGCACACAGGAGGGTGTGCTTAGCTGAGAGAACCTCAATTACCTAAGATGGTGACAGCCAGTAATGCTAGGATTTTTTTTTTTTTTTTTTTTTTTTTTAAGTGATTTTTCAACAAAATACAGCATGGAGACACGGATGGATGGGGAAGTTTACTTTGAATATTTAAAATGAATTAATTAAAATTAAATGAGTTTAATTAAATCTTTAATCCTTACCTGTGGTCTTCTTTAAGCCAGTTCCGTGACCTGCTCAGATGGACAGTCTTTTGTGCATCCTTCCCCTAGCCTAGAAGCCAGACACTCTAATGCACCTCTCTCTCCTAGCTAACAGACTCCATAATGCACGGTCTACTGGTAACATTTTCCTGTGAATACAGGAAGTTCAGGGAAGCAGCTGTCAGGGCTCCCAGGTGTGACCAGAGATGTGTGACTGACGCAGGGAAACGCAGACCTCAGATATGTTATAAACAATATAATTTTTATTAACACTAACAATACAAACATAAACGCAGTGCAATACTAAACATAATACAGTGCAAACGAACCAAACCAAACCACCCACAGATAACAGTATATACAAGCAAGCGTCGTCAGGCAGGCCGGGTCAATATCAATAGGGCAGGTAGGTACAGGGGGAGCAAGCGGAGATTGGTCAGGGTCACAAGCCAGGGATCAGAACAGGTAGCAAGCAGCGTGGTACAGAGGGTCAGACAGAGGGATGGTCAGGAGCGAGCCGGGATCAGAGCAGGAGAAGTCAGCAGCGGTTCAGAAACAGGATGCAGGACAGAAACAGGATACAGGGCCCAGGACAAACACACACCAAGGCAGAGTCTGTGGGTCTGGCCATCCCTTAAATACCCCAGCATAATCAGTTACAGGTGTTAGCTGGCTGCAAAGTTGAGTCTCTGATTGCTGGGAACACCCGCTGGCCAGCCCTAGTACTGCAGATCAAAAGGCAGGTGAGTCCCACCATAGCTGGCCAGTCCATTCCTGACAGCAGCACTGAGAGTGCAGGAGTCAGTATTGAAAGCTAAACACTTGCCACCCAACCACAGTCCGTTACTGAGGCCAGGCAGGTTATGTACATCATCCTGCCTCTTCCAGGTTAGTTGCCACTGGACACTGCAGGCTGCGAGCCCGGTGCCGGGAGCCACAATCTGCTGTGCTATGTGATCACAATGTCAACAAAGCTGTTGTGAATGAATTTCCTTTATAACAGCTGTGTTTCCTGTAGCGATGCTGCGATTGGCTCACAGCTATCACATGGTGCCTGGACCAATCACCGCACGCCGTAGCCAATCACAGATCACTAGTAATCACAGCTTTTATGAATGTAAACCATTCATTACTGTTCAGAACATTTGTTTCTACAGTGATCATCACTGTAATAGCAAAGTCTAAAAAAAAAAAAAAAAAAAAAAAAAAAAATCCCCGATCACCCCCCCATTCTGGTGACACAAAACAACTGATGAAAGTATGTAAAAAAAAAAAAGAATAGAAAATGTAAAAAATAAAGTTTTTAAAAGTATTTATTTACATATTGTCACCAGTCAGTATCCTTGATCACCGCTACACCACTCGTATGATGACGCTGTACTGCACTGGTGACAATAGGTGAAAAAAATAGTAAATTGACAAAAAAAAAATGTAAATTTTTTTTTAAAAAAATTATTTAATTTCTTGATTCTCTAAAAAATTGTGATATAAAAAAATTGCACCTGGAAAAAATTTGCCACGGTTCTTACTAAATACCTAAAAACTGCTTACTTTCCAAAAAGGGGTCAAGTTCTGAGATAAACATTTTATTGCAGAATTTTTTTTTTTTCTTTTCTGGGGGCTCAATATGTTCAGCAAACAAAAACAAACCAAAAAAAAACAAAAAAAAAAAAAAAAAAGGTAAATAAGTAAATGAGGATTTAAAGTGGTATTAAACGCAAAACCAGAAATGTCATATATTGCAGTTTACCAATCATTCGGTGCGGTGGCTGCATTAGTTTTCTTTTTTTATTTATTGCAGGTACTTATATAGCGTCGTCAATTTATGCAGCACTTTTTACATACATATATATTATTTACATACTAGGGCCATTTCACCTACCAGCATGTCTTTGGAGTGTGGGAGGAAAACCCAGAGTACCCGGAGGAAACCCACGCAGGCACAGGGAGAACATGCAAACTCCAGGCAGGAGGTGCCGTGGTTGGGATTCGAACCAACGACCCAAGTACTGCCAGGCAGGACTGCTAACCCTTTAACCACTGTGCTGCTAATTGGCTTTTCTCCTCTATTTTCACCCGGTGATCTGGCCAGTAACACACGTCCTGTATTATAGCGCCCCCATTCTGGATGAAGGAACACAGGAGGCACCTTTGAACAGAAGCATTGTCAGTCTGGGGGGAAGGGAGTGTTAAACAGACTAGCAGATTTAGATACACTAACAAATTGAAGCCAAAAGTCATCTCACACTTTATAAGCAGATATAGCAAACAGTTTGTTTTGTTTTTTTTCCTTTTGGGATAAAGTAAAAACTGATCATTGTAATCTCCCCTGTCAGTAGTAAATGGTTTGTCTCCTTCATCTAAACGGATACATTCTGCTGGAGAGATTTGTGTAAACGGATACATTCTGCTGGAGAGATTACTGATCATTGTAATCGCCCGTCAGTAGTAAATGATTTCTCCATCTAAACGGATATGTTCTGCTGGAGAGTTTTGTACATCTAAACGGATACATTTTGCTGGGGAGTTTGTATAAACGGATACATTCTGCTGGAGAGATTACTGATCATTGTAATCGCCCATCAGTAGTAAATGGTTAGTCTCCATCATCTAAACGGATACGTTCTGCCGGGGAGTTTGTATAAACGGATACATTCTGCTGGGGAGTTTTTCCATATAAACGGATACATTCTGCTGGAGAGTTTGTATAAACGGATACATTCTGCCGGAGAGTTTGTATAAACGGATACATTCTGCCGGAGAGTTTGTATAAACGGATACATTCTGCTGGAGAGATTACTGATCATTGTAATCTCCCCTGTCAGTAGTAAATGGTTTGTCTCCTTCATTTAAATGGATACATTCTGCTGGAGAGTTTGTGTTTTTGAAAAACAACAGACTTACTGACCAGATCACCAGATGACAATAAAAGAAATAAAGCATAAAAAAGAAGAAACTAATGCAGCCATCACATCTAAGAATCGGTAAGCTGCCATACAGGAAATGTTTGCTTTTGGGTTTAATAAAACTTTAGCATTTTGAATGTTTTAAATGTCTTCTTTATGCTGTTTATGCCGCTTTCATCACTGGAGGATTTCCGTCTTCTATTCCAGGCTGATGTTAATGGAGAATGTGAACCGACCGCAGCTCTGGAACGTCTTCAATCAGGTGACGATGCATTCCCAGGACGTGCGGCACCATCGCTTCTGCCTGAGGCTCATGCTGAAAAATACCGACAATCTGGCCCTGTGTGTCCTGAGTGGCCACAATGCTTTCGTGTCTGGAAGCTTCAAGCATGCGCTCGGTAAATGCCTAACTTCATGTTCGTATGATTTCTTGATGAAGAGCACCGTGCGTGGAAGAATCCAACATTCTACATCTCCATAGTATGAGGGCCGCATATGGTATATTTTGCAAATATTTGTATACAATATTACATTTAAATATATTCATTTAACATGGAAAGGCTTCTTTACAGTAAGAGCTGTGAAATCGTGGCATAGACTCCCTCAAGGGTTGGTTCTGGCCAGCTCAGTGGATTGCTTGAACCACTTCAAGTCGGACACTTTCACCCCCCTTCCAGTCCGGACACTTTCACCCCCTTCGAGTCCGGACGCTTTCACCCCCCTTCGAGTCCGGACGCTTTCACCCCCCTTCGAGTCCGGACGCTTTCACCCCCCTTCCAGTCCGGACGCTTTCACCCCCTTCCAGTCCGGACGCTTTCACCCCCTTCCAGTCCGGACACTTTCACCCCCTTCCTGTCCGGACGCTTTCACCCCGTTCCTGTCCGGACGCTTTCACCCCCTTCCAGTCCGGACGCTTTCACCCCCTTCCAGTCCGGACGCTTTCACCCCCTTCCAGTCCGGACGCTTTCACCCCCTTCCAGTCCGGACGCTTTCACACCCCTTCCAGTCCGGACGCTTTCACCCCCTTCCTGTCCGGACGCTTTCACCCCCTTCCTGTCCGGACGCTTTCACACCCCCTTCCTGTCCGGAAACGCTTTCACCCCCTTCCTGTCCGGATGAATTTTTCACCCCCTTCCAGTCCGGACGCTTTCACCCCCTTCCAGTCCGGACGCTTTCACCCCCTTCCAGTCCGGACGCTTTCACCCCCTTTCCGGACGCTTTCACCCCCTTCCAGTCCGGACGCTTTTTTTCCTGTCCGGACGCTTTCATACTTCCAGTCCGGACGCTTTCACCCCCTTCCAGTCCCGGACGCTTTCACCCCCTTCCAGTCCGGAAAAAACCCCCTTCCAGTCCGGACGCTTTTTCCTTCCGGACGCTTTCACCCCTTTCCTTGGACGCTTTCACCCCCTTCCTGTCCGGACGCTTTCACCCCCTTCCTGTCCGGACGCTTTCACCCCCTTCCAGTCCAGGCCAATTTTTAGCTTTCAGCGCTATCACCTTTGAATGACAATTGCGCGGTCATGCAACACTGTACACATATGAATTTTTTAGCATTTTTTTGAGACAGAAAAACTTTATTTTGGTGGTATTTATTCACCACTGGGATTTTATTTTCCTTACTAAACAAATGAAAAAGTCCAAAAATTTCAAAAAAAGTGTTTTTCTTATAAAATTTTGCAAATAAATAATCTTTTCTTCATAAATTTGGCCAAAATTTATTCAGAGATTTTTTAGTGAAAACATATTATTTTTTTTTATACATACTGTCACCCTTGTAGTGCAGTGACACTGTATGCTACTTGTGGGGGGGGGGGGGGGGTGATTTTTTTTTTTTTTTTTTTTACACTGATTGCTTTTACATTCATAAAGGCTGTAAAAGCAATCATTTCGCCTTCTCTCTGGTTGCATTCCTGCAGCCATTGAGAAATACTGTGAAAGCTGTGATTGGTCACAGCTTGTCTCATGGTACAAGGCTGTTGTGAATAGCCCTGTACCATGTGACCTCGGTGATCATTCACAGATTTCATACGTAGTAAGCAATGAAGTGATCCTTCCGATCCTTACCTTGTCCTGCAATCCCCCCGATGTCCTCCTGGCCATGTCCTCCAGCCGATGCCGGCACCCTTCTTCCGGGTTCCCTTCCCTGTGAGTGTCACGACGCAGGGGGGCGGAACCGGCGGGAGATTCAAAAAAGTAAAAACATGACATACACACAATACATTGTAATCTGTGAGGATTACATTCTGTATCAAACCGTTTCCCCTCCGTTTTGTCCCGAGTGCTTAGTCCTGCGCCCTGCCTGCACTTCTACCGTTCTGCCTGGAAACTTGAGAAATGTCCATGGCGTCCAAAAAGTGTCCCTTTTAGGTCAAAAGCGGTTTTAGACCGGCTAGAAAACAGCGACCGTGAAATAGAATCACAGAATTGAGCGATCTTGATTCGTGGGGAAATTCCTCACCAGACACTGAAAGTGACAACAGCGATGATTCTGCAGTTGAGCGCAGCGATGTGTGCGATATATTGCAAATTTCAGTGTTTTGGTTTGATTACAAAATTGAATTAAATACATTTTTTTTTTTTATAATTATTATATTTATAATTTATGGTTTTGTGTCAAATTTAATTCATAATGAGATTCCTGGGTATTGAATTAAAGTTTATTATTATTATTTTTTTATAATTATATTATAATGTATGATTTCGTGTTTCAAACTTTTATCCATACCCGGAATTACATTATTAAATATAAAAATTTTTAATAATAAAAATTTTAATATTATAATGTTATGGTTTTGTGTTTGAAAACGAAATCATAATTATAATATAATAAATATTGAATTAATAATAATAAATTTTTTTAAATTCATTTATTATATTATAATTTAGGATTTTGTGTTTAAAACTTTTATCATACCCGGGATTACATTATTGAATTAAATATTATTATTTTTTTTTAAATAATTATTTATTATATTATAATTTATGATTTTGTGTTACAAATTTTATCATACCTGGGATTATATTATTGAATTATTTTTTAAAATATTATTTTATATTCGAATTTATGGTTTCGTGTTTCAAACTTTATCATACCTGGGATTAAATTATTGAATTACATTTATTTCATTTTTATTTTTTTAAATAATTTATTTATATTAGAAATTTATGGTTTTGTGTTTCAAACTTTATCATACCCAGGATTACATTATTGAATTATTATTCCTTATTTTTTTTTTAAATAATAATTATTTATTATTATTTTTGGTTTCGTGTTTCAATTTTTATCATACCTGGGATTACATTATTGAATTTTATTATTATTTTTTTTAATAATTTATTATATTATAATTTATGGTTTTGTGTTTTCAAACTTTATCAACCCTGTATTACATTATTGAATTAAAATTATCATTATTATTTTTTTTAAATAATTATTATATTTATTTATTATTTTGTGTTTCAAACTTTTATCATACCCGGGATTACATTATTGAATTAAATTTATTATTTTTTATAATTATTTACTAATTATTATAATTTATGGTTTCGTGTTTCAAACTTTTATCATACCCGGGATTACATTATTGAATTAAATGTATTATTATTATTTTTTTTTAATTTATTATATTATAATTTATGCTTTCGTGTTTCAAATTTTATCATACCCGGGATTACATTATTGAATTAAATGTCGTCTTTATTCTTTTTTCTTCTTAATTCTTCTTTTAATTTATTTCGTGTTTCAAACTTTATCATTCCCTGGATTACATTATTGAATTAAATTTATTTATTTTATAATTATTATAATTATTATATTATAATTTATGCTTTCGGTTTCAAACTTTATCATTCCCGGTATTACGTTATTGAATTAAAATTATTATTATTATTTTATATTATTTATTTATATTAGAATTTATGGTTTCGTGTTTCAAACTTTTTCATAGCTGGGATTAAATTATTGAATTACATTTATTCTTATTATTTTTTTATAATTATTTATGATATTATAATTTACGATTTCGTGTTTCAAACTTTTCTCATACCCGGGACGGTTACTAGACTCTTGTTTGGACAGATCGCAGTGAGTTATTCCTAAGAATTACAGGCCTACAATATAAAACAATTTCCATGCAAAACAATGTAGCGCTTTGACATAATCAGACCGCCAGGGAGGTTAATCCATTTCTCCGAGATATTACCCTTCCCTGGGGGGAAATACTCCGTTCCCACCGGGGGGGGGGGGGGGGGATCAGTACTGAATTATGTTTCCATCCCTTTTGCTTTCCATTCTATCCCAGACACATAAGACTTTCTTGGTCAGTGGACTGACATTCCCATCGATCGTGTGATATTTATGTGGTATCCAATCTTCCCTATCTGCCCTGCTTGGAATCCCTTCTATATTCCCAACCTTTCCCTAAATAATAATTCCTGCCGTCAGGCCAGCCCAACCCCCGCTTCCCTTTTGCCCAACACATAACCTCATCCCTAATTCTTTTTTTGTTTTTTTTTTTGTTATTTTGTTTTTTTGTTTTTTTTTTGTCACCGTTTTTATCAGGTTTTTTTGACCTATCCGGGAGGTTTTATTTTTTTCTTTTTAGCTTTTTTTTTTTTTTTTTTTTTTTTTAAAGATAGTTCATCATGAGAGTTTTTTTTTTAGAGACGAGGTAATCGGATGGGGGAGGGGTAATGGTGGGATTTTTTACACCAGGGTCCGCTCATTTACATTAAAGCCCTTTTAGCAGAGTTTTTTCTTTACATTATTTTTTTCCCAATCAGAGTTTTTTTACAGCCAAGTGAAAATCATGGGTCCCCCCCCCCCCTTTAAACCAGGGTTTTATTTATTTTTTTTTTTTCGGAAAGGGTTTTGGTGTTTTTTTTTCAGAGTTTCCCCTTGTATTAAGTGTCTTTATTAAAGAAGTTTTTTTTTTTTTAAATCAGGGTAATAACCTTATTGTTTTTTTTTTTTTTTTTTTTAATAGTTTTTTTTACTTCAGAGTAAGTTTTTTTTTGAGGTATTTTTTTTTTTTTTTTTCAGAGTTTTTTTTTTTCAGACTTTTTTTCAGATTTTAACTTTTATAGGGTTTTTTATTTGAGCTTCCTTTTTTTTCAGAAGTTTTTTGAAAGATTTTTTTTGTTTTGCAGGTTTTCTTTTTTTTTTTTTTTATTTGGGCAATATATGGTATAAATCCTTTTTGTTTTTTTTTTTCAGAGTTTTTTTTTTTTGTTGTTTTTTTTTTGGAGCACCTGAATTGTTTTTTTTGGGGGGCTGGTTTTTTTTTTTGACAATATTTTTGTGTGGTTTTTTGTTTGTGTAATGTATGTTTATGTTTGTGTTTGTTGTATGTTTTTGTATGTATTTGGTGTTTGTTTTTATGTGTGTATTTTTGGTTTGTGGTTGTTGTTTTTTTTTGAATGTGTGTGTGTGTGTGTTGTATTGTATTTTTTTTTTTTTTTTTTTTTTTTTTTTTGTTTTTTTTTTTTTTTTTTGTGTGTGTGGTGTGTGTTTTTTGGTTGTTGTGTGTTTTTTTATTTTTTTTTGTTTTGTTTTTGTTTTTTTTTTTTGTTTTTGTTTTTGTTTTTTTGTTTTTGTTTTATGTTTGTGTTTTTTTTTATTTTGTTTGTTGTTTTTTTGGGTATTTTTGTTGGGGGGGTAATATGGTTTGGTTTGTTGTTTTGGTGTTTTGTATATGTGTATGTAAGTATGTGTGTATTGTATGTGTGTATATATGTATATGTGTGTATGTATGATTGTGTTTTATGTATAATATATATTAGTGTATATGTGTATGTATGTAATGCGTGATGTATGTATGCGTGTGTGTGTATGTATATTATTATTATTATGGAAACAGTGTTTATATAGCGCTAAAAGGTATTTTTGCTCAGCGCTGTTACATTATAGTGGGGGACAGAATATGAGACAATACAATACACGAGGTTTTTCGAGGGCCCTGCTCCTTGGTTTTAGAAGCAATCTATGAGGGAGGGGATAGTGGGTACAGGAGTGTACCTTTTTGTGTATACCTTATTATGTGTGTGTGTGTAAATATAGTATTTATAAAATTGTATTTTGTTTGGGGAAAATAAAGGGGTGAATTTGAGGATGTGTGTGGTAGGTTTATGGTTTTTAAAATTTGGTATTTTCTGAATGGGAGTTGGGATTGTTTAAATAATAAATAAACACATTCAGCATGTTTAGTTGTCTTTTCATAAGATTTCATTCCTGTTGCAGCTCAGTACGTTCAGGCCTTCCGAATTAAAATCAGACGACCCCATGCACTGCCTGTGTATCGGATTAACTTTCATCCATATGGCATCACAAAAGTTTGTGCTAAAAAGTACGCTCTCCTTGTACAGGTACTTTTTTTTTCCCTATAAAATCCCTTGGCAGTAGCAGGCGTAGAATTTTCAGGCAACTTTTATTTTAAAACCACACCGTTCTTCTTGAATACTTCCAGGGATACTGAGCGACTTTGCAGATCATTTTTTTTTTTACACAATTTGCCTTTTCTTTCTCTGTGCTGTGAGAACCGCTAGGAGAAGCCCAGGCCAGTGTAAATATTGAATTTTTTTGTTACGAAAATTTTATTGGTTTGCATGAGAATTTTACAAAAAAACAGCAGTTCAGATGCTCAAATGACCTGGAGCTACTCAACAAACATTGGAAGCCAGCATAGTAGGATGTAGGTAGGGCAGCACTTGATATTCGTGAATATCAGAGAAATGTGTAATTGATATTGGATGGAGTGGCTCCTTAAAAAAAAAAAAAAAAAATTGAAACGCCCCAAAAAAGATCCTCTGCCAAACATAGGTGGGGACATAGAGAAAGAAAATAAAAAATAAAACCCCAAAAAGATCTTCTGACAAATGTGGGTGGTGGGAAGAGGGAGGAAGAAAGAAAATAGAGTGAGGAAGGAGAATGAAAAATGAGTAAGAGGGGGAATCGAGTAACTAAGATGTGATGTGTATGGGGGCCCATCTGGGGCCCCCAACCCTGTGATTGTTAGAGCAAAAATAAGGTGTGGTCCAGATTAATATGGCTTTGGAAATCCAGCCAAGAAGACCACATCTTGAGAAATTTGGAATGCATGATGTTTAATATGGCTGTTTAATATGTTTCTTTCGTATCATAGCGCCCATAACTCCCGGATTAACCTCTATAAAGTTCAATATATGGCCTTCTTCCATGCTTTGCAGAGATCTGCTCAGTGGCTAAAAAAAAAATGTTGAACTATCTTCATATAGCCTGTCTGCAGCGCATGCACAAAAAGAATTCGGAAGTTATCTGTTCGACAATACACTATACTGCCAAAAGTATTGGCCCAGCCCTCCCAATCATGTGATTCAGGTGTTCCAATCCCCTCCATGGCCACAGGTGTATACAATCAAGCCCCTAGGCATGCAGACTGCTTCTACAAACATTGGTGAAAGAATGGGTCGCTCTCAGGAGCTCAGTGACTCCAAGCGTGGTCCCGTGATAGGTGGTCACCTGTGCAATAAGTCCATCCGTGACACTTCCTCCGTACTACTAAATATTCCACGCTCAACTGTTAGTGGGATTATAACAAAGTGGAAGCAACTGGGAACAACAGCAACTCAGCCACCAAGTGGTAGGCCACGTCACATGACAGAGTGGGGTCAGCGCATGCTGAAGCGCACAGTGCGCAGAAGTCCCAACTGTCTGCAGAGTCAATAGCTAAAGACCTCCAAACTTGGTGTGGTTTTCAGATGAGCCCAACAACAGTGCGTAGAGAGCTTCATGGAATGGGTTTCCATGGCCGAGCAGCTGCATCCAAGCCTTACATTACCAAGTGCTATGCAAAGCTCTCGGATGCCGTGGTGTAAAGCACGCCGCCACTGGACTCTAGAGCAGTGGAGACGTGTTCTCTGGAGTGACCAGTCATGCTTCTCTGGCAAATCCGATGGATGTGTCTGGGTTTAATAAACGGTGGCCAGGAGAACGGTAACTTGCCAGACTGCATTGTGCCAAGTGTAAAGTTTGGTGGAGGGGGGATTATGATGTGGGGTTGTTTTTCAGGGGTTGGGCTTGGCCCCCTAGTTCCAGTGAAGGGAACTCTTAAGGCAAACATTTTGGACAATATGTGGGAGTTTGGGGATGGCCCTTTCTTGTTCCAACATGACTGCTCACCAGTGCACAAAGCAAGGTCCATAAAGACATGGAGGAGCCAGTTTAGGGTGGAGGAACGTGACTGGCCTGCACAGAGTCCTGACCTCAACTCCATAGAACACCTTTGGATGAATTACAGCGGAGACTGCACCCAGGCCTCCTCCCCCGACATCAGTGCCTGACCTGACAAATGTGCTTCTGGAAGAATGGTCCAACCTTCCCATAGACACCCTCCTAAACCTTGTGGACAGCCTTCCCAGAAGAGTTGAAGCTGTTATAGCTGCAAAGGGCGGGGCCAACTCAATATTGAACCCTACGGACTAAGACTATGAGGTCATCAAAGTTCATGTGCGTGGAAAGGCCGGCCCGACCAATACTTTTGACAATATAGTGTACCTCTGTTTCAATAGGTTCCGTTCTAGGACCATAAAGGTGCTTTCTTTACTGCAGTGCACTCATGTAATGGCTGGAGATCACAGACTGCTAAAAGCAGGGCAGCCCACAACTTAAATTATGCCGTTGCTCTAAAGACCCCCAAGGCTGGAGAATATAGTTTGTTTAGCTTTTTTCCGATGTACACATTGGCCAGAAAGTTCTTATCTGTCCACAGAGCTTCATTTGAGAATTGTAGTGGAACGTCCAGTTGGTCTTCAGCAATTTTGTGTAACACCGGTTTCCTCCACGGCAACCTCCCATAAATTCCTCTCTTGTTAATGAACATTTAGGAGGAACCTACAAGCTGGTACAAAGAATGAGTCTATGACACCGTGTATTCAGTGCTTTGTAGTTTATGGTGCAGTGACCTGAAAAGCCAACTCTAGAGTCACAGTGCGTTGTTTTGTGTGCGAATACATGTTTTGGTTGACATTGGGAGAAGCACACTTCATTATTGGGATCATTTACCATGGTAGTCCATTATTTTGAAAATGTTGGGCGCCAAGGCATTCCCCACAGGTCGGAGTTTCATTCTTGTTCATTGATACTTTGTGCTGAACTCTTGAAACAGCGATCATATCAGAAAGATATAGAGACTTTTACCAGTCATCCAATGTTTGTTGTAGAATGGGTATCTCCATACTTTCTAAACAAAAGGCCAGTTTACTGTACTTCAGGCTTCTTGGGGGAAGAAATTGAACAGTGCCCCATCATTGGTATCAGTGGGAGGAATAGTACCCCATCATTGGTATTAGTGGGAGGAATAGTGCCCCATCATTGGTATCAGTGGGAGGAGTAGTGCCCCATCATTGGTGTCAGTGAGAGGGATAGTGTCCCATCATTGGTGTCAGTGGGAGGAATAGTGCCCCATCATTGGTATCAGTGGGAGGAATAGTGCCCCATCATTGCTATCAGTGGGAGGAATAGTGCCCCATCATTGGTGTCAGTGGGAGGAATAGTGCCCCATCATTGATGTCAGTGGGAGGGATAGTGTCCCATCATTGGTGTCAGTGGGAGGAATAGTGCCTCATCATTGATATCAGTGGAAGGAATAGTGCCCCATCAATGATATCAGTGGAAGGAAATAGTGCCCCATCATTGGTACCAGTGGGAGGAATAGTGCCCCATCATTGGGGTCAGTGGGAGGAATAGTGCCCCATCATTGGTGTCAGTGGGAGGAATAGTGCCCCATCATTGGTATCAGTGGGAGGAATAGTGCCCCATCATTGGTATCAGTGGGAGGAATAGTGCCCCATCATTGGTATCAGTGGGAGGAATAGAGCCCCATCATTGGTATCTGTGGGAGGAATAGTGCCCCATCATTGGTATCAGTGGGAGGAATAGTGCCCCATCATTGGTATCAGTGGGAGGAATAGTGCCCCATCATTGGTATCAGTGGGAGGAATAGTGCCCCATCATTGGTATCAGTGGGAGGAATAGTGCCCCATCATTGGTGTCAGTGGGAGGGAATAGTGCCCCATCATTGGGGTCAGTGGGAGGAATAGCACCCCATCATTGGTGTCAGTGGAAGGAATAGTGCCCCTTCATTGGTGTCAGTGGGAGGAATAGTGCCCCATCATTGCTATCAGTGGGAGGAATAGTGCCCCATCATTGCTATCAGTGGGAGGAATAGTGCCCCATCATTGGTGTCATTGAGAGAGTTCACTATCATTGATGTCAGTGTGAGGACTAGTGCTGCCTTCCACTGGGGGAACAGTGCCCCAGTGACCAGACAAAGGCAAACAAAGGGCCTCAATTTGGAGACCACTGTTCTAAAGTAACAACTATTGCCATATAATGAGGAAGACTATATTGTGAAAACAATTTTATTATTATTTTTTTTTTTTTTTTTGATCTTGAAAAAATATAATTTTTCTTGGTTTATCTGTCTTTTAGGGATTTTCCTTTTTGAATCGTTATCTTGACCTGCGCAGCCCTTGCCAGGAAACCTATTACAATATTGGCCGTGCCCTGCACCAGATGGGTCTGACGTACCTTGCTATTCATTACTACCAGCAAGCCCTGGAGCTTCCAGCACTCCAGCTCGAGGTACAATGATAAATGTATGCGGAGTAATCTCATCGACGTATTGCTGCATCTCGCGGGGGCAAATTCCTCGCTATATTACTGCATCTCGCGGGGGCAAATTCCTCGCTATATTACTGCATCTCACGGGGGCAAATTCCTCGCTATCAAGCTTTCCTTGGTGAAATGCATTTAGAAGAAAGTTACTCTGGTGTGCGTCTTCCATTGGCCAACAGTACGTTACTAACACACTTTAGTGGCTAATCAACACTGGCCGGGGTTTGGGATGGCAAAAAAAAACGAGAGAACTGAGGTTTCTCCCAATAGTTTATTATTGTTTGAGAAAAAACTGGCTTCTATAAGATATATCCCACATGGAAGAAAAATATATTTGAAATATATTTTTAAAATATTCTTCCCAAATATATTGACATATATTTGAAATGCTACAATGTTGGCCATATTCAATATATTTCAAAATATATTTCAATAAATATATATATATACTGCATGTTGAAATGCGTTTTTTATTACAAAATATAGGAAAAGAATTTTTAAAAATACATTTCAAATATCCTGCATGTCTTTACTGTATTTTTAAAAATATATTCTTCCCAAATATATTAACATATATTTGAAATGCTACAATTTTGGCCATATTCAATATATTTCAAATAAATTTATATATATACTGCATGTTTGAAATGCGATTTTTTATTACAAAATTTTAAGAATTTTAAAAAAAATACATTTCAAATATACTGTATGTCTTTAAAAATACAAATCTACATTTTTGGAATGCATTTACAAACATATGTAAAAATATATGTTCTAATGACTTTTTTTTTTTATATGTTAAAAAATATCTGAAGAATTTTATAAAATTTTATATCTTTTTAAAATATATTCTTCAGATTTTTTTTAACATATTAAAAAAGTAATTTTTAACATATATTTGTAAATGCATTCCAAAAATGTAGATTTGTATTTTTAAAGACATACAGTATATTTGAAATGTATTTTTAAAAATATTTATCATATATTTTTGTAATACAAACGCATTGCAAACATGGTGGTGTGTGTGTGTGTATATATATATATATATAATTTATTTATTGAAATATATTGAATACGGCCAAAATTGTAGCATTTCAAATATGGCAATATATTTGGGAAGAATATATTTAAAATATATTGCAAATATATTTTTTCTTCCATATGAGATGTGTGGTGTTGAGGAAGGTTGTACTGAGGACACGTGTGTGTGTGTGTGTGTGTGTGTGTGTGGGGGGGGAGTGATTGGATTTGTGGTAGAAGGGGAGATTTGACATAGATATTTGATTGGCCATGATAAGGCGATTTTTGCTAGGAGGGGAGACTTGTGCTTGAAGGGGAAATTTGAAGGGGGGGGGGGGTATTAGTGCTAGGAGGGGCTTTTTTTTGGGGAGGGGGGAATTTTTGCAATTTTAATTGGGGAGAATATAGAGGGAATTCATGCATGGTGGTTGTGGGGGTGTGCAGATCAGTGCTGGATTTTGTTTTGGAAAGGGGGGTGGATTTTTGTGGAGACATGATGCTCACACTTTACATGGGGTGGGGGGTGGTTTGTCATTTTTTTTGCCCTGAGCAACTTACATGACCTTGTCGCGGCACTGATTGTGAATATGATTTATTTGTATTCTGTTTGTTCGTTAACTATAGATTTTTATGTTAATTGATGCTTAACCACTTGACCTCCGGAAGATTTTACCCCCCCCCCCCCATCCTTCCTGACCAGGCCATTTTGTGCGATACGGCGCTGCGTTACTTTAACAATTGCGCAGTCATGCAGCGCTGTGAAATTTATAATTTTTCTTTTTCCGCAAATAGAGCTTTTTTTGGTGGTATTTTTTACTTTTTGCGGTATGAAGAAAAAAAAAGACCGACAATTTTGCAAAAAAAGAAGATTTTTTATTCTGCTATAAAACATATCAAATAAAAAAAAAATCTAATTTCTTCACCGATTTTAGGCCAAAATATATTTTACTACATATTTTGGTAAAAAAACAAACAAAATCCCAATAAGCGTATATTGATTTGTGTCTATAAATAGTGGTATATATACTGGAATTTTTATGTTTATTTCTTAATAATAGTAATGGCAGCGATCTCAGCTTATAGCAGGACTGCGATATTGCGGCAGACTTTTTAACATTACCTGACACTTTGTGGGTACCAGTGACGCCAATACAGTGATCGGTGCTAAAAATATGCACTGACAGTGTACTAATGTTTGTCTTTAAAAATTCGCCACTGGTTGGGAGGGCAATCAAAGGGTTAAGCGTGTGCCTAGCTACACTAGGTAGTGCTTGTACTAGGACAGTGGTGGGCAACCTTTTTTTTCAACTGAGCCAAATCTCGCCAAAACCATGATTGAAATTTATTTTGAGAGCCACATTTTTTAAAACTGAAAATACATCTCCCCATATAGTAATTCATCCCCCATAGTAATTCATCCCCCATATAGTAATTCATCCCCCATATAGTAATTTCATCCCCATCGTAATTCATCCCCCATAGTAATTCATCCCCCATAGTAATTCATCCCCATATAGTAATTCATCCTCCATATAGTAATTCATCCCCCATATAGTAATTCATCCCCCATAGTAATTCATCCCCCATATAGTAATTCATCCCCCATAGTAATTCATCCCCCATATAGTAATTCATCCCCCATAGCAATTCATCCCCCGTATAGTATTTCATCCCCCGTATAGTATTTCATCCCCCGTATAGTATTTCATCCCTCATATAGTATTTCATCCCTCATATAGTATTTTCATCCCCCATATAGTAATTTCATCCCTCATATAGTATTTCATCCCTCATATAGTATTTCATCCCTCATATAGTATTTCATCCCCCATATAGTAATTTCATCCCCCTCATATAGTAATTCATCCCTCATATAGTATTTCATCCCTCATATAGTATTTTCATCCCCCCATATAGTATTTCATCCCTCATATAGTATTTCATCCCCCATATAGTATTTCATCCCTCATATAGTATTTCATCCCCCCATATAGTATTTCATCCCTCATATAGTATTTCATTCCCCCCCATATAGTAATTCATCCCTCATATAGTATTTCATCCCTCATATAGTAATTCATCCCTCATATAGTATTTCATCCCTCATATAGTATTTCATCCCCCCATATAGTATTTCATCCCTCATATAGTATTTCATCCCCCATATAGTATTTCATCCCTCATATAGTATTTCATCCCTCATATAGTATTTCAAAATCGCTGGGTGTGAAAAATACTTCTGGTTCCTCATTGTATGTGTGTAAGTGTGAGATCCCCCCATATAGTATTTCATCCCTCATATAGTAATTCAATCCCTCATATAGTATTTCATCCCTCATATAGTATTTCATCCCCCATATAGTATTTCATCCCCCCCCATATAGTATTTCATCCCTCATATAGTATTTCATCCCTCATAAAGTATTTCATCCCTCATATAGTATTTCATCCCTCATAAAGTATTTCATCCCTCATATAGTAATTCATCCCTCATATAGTATTTCATCCCTCATATAGTAATTCATCCCTCATATAGTATTTCATCCCTCATATAGTATTTCATCCCCCACAGTACTATTCCCCCCCCCCCTTCTAGTAAAAGCCAAGTCCCCCGTGTCAATTCACTTACCTTTTGCGTTCCTCTCGCTGTCTTCCCGCGCCGTTCGGGTCTTCAGGGCGGACTGTGAGAGGAGCCTAGCTCCCCTCCCCTCACGTTCGGCACGCTGCCCCGCCTACACACATCCTGACAGCCACATCCGCGGGCCGGATTAAAAGGTCCGCGCGGACTTTTGGGGCTGCCAACCGAGAGGAGGCAGGGGAGCGGGACCCGACCGAGAGGAGGGAGGGGAGCAGGCGCCCGGCACACAGAAGAGCCGCATTAGAGTGGGTAAAGAGCCGCATGTGGCTCGCGAGCCGCGGCTTGCCAACCACTGTACTAGGAGATGTGAAAGATCGTGTTCCCGGCTTCACAGGGACACATGATCTTTCCCTCCCCATGTGTCAGAACAGAGCTCTGCCTTGTTAACATAGGCAGAGCTTTGTTTTTTGTCCCTGACGGAGGATTGGTGCTCACAGATCGGCTTCTGTTGTCCCTGTCGGATGATCGGTGCTCACAGATCGGCTTCTGTTGTCCCTGCCGGATGATCGGTGCTCACAGATCTACTTCTGTTGTCTCTGCCGGACGATCGGTGCTCACAGATCGGTTTCTGTTGTCTCTGCCGGACGATTGGTGCTCACAGATCGGCTTCTGATGTCTCTGCCGGACGATCGGTGCTCACCGATCGGCTTCTGTTGTCTCTGCCGGACGATCGGTGCTCACCGATCGGCTTCTGTTGTCTCTGCCGGACGATCGGTGCTCACCGATCGGCTTCTGTTGTCTCTGCCGGACGATTGGTTTCTCACAGATCGGCTTCTGTTGTCCCTGCTGGACGATCAGTGCTCACAGATCGGCTTCTGCTGTGAATGTTCACAGCAGAAGCGAGCTGCCGGCAGTGCGTGCGTGGCCTTTGTCAGAAGTGCATAATCACGTGTATATATACAGTGGCTAAATGGTTAGCGCACGGGTGTCAAACTGGTGGCCCTCCAGCTGTTGCCAAACTACAAGTCCCAAGAGTCATTGAAAGATTGAGGATTACAAGTATGACTCCCAAAGGCAGAGGCATGATGGGACTTGTAGTTTTGCAACAGCTGGAGGGCCGCCAGTTTGACACCCCTGGGTTAGCACTTCCGTCTGGCAGTACTAGGGTCGTTGGTTCGAATCCCAACCACGGCACCACCTGCCTGGAATTTGCATGTTCTCACTGAGTACTCCGGTTTCCTTTCACACCCAAAGACATTCCAAAGACATGCTGGTAGGTTAATTGGCTCCTGTCTAATTTGGCCCTTGTATGTGTATGTATGAATTAAAGTTAGGGACCTTATATTGTACACCCCTTGAGGGTTAGGGACTGATGTGAATGTACAATCTATATGTAAAGCACTGCATAAATTGACAGCGCTATATAAGTATACATAAATAAATAAAAATAAAATAAATACATGATTTTGCACAGAAGGGCTGCCCTGTAGCAGTAAAACTGCTATAGGGTGGTCCTAAAGTGGATAAAATTATGACGACGTTGTTGTCGCAAAGGTTTGCTGAAAACAATTCAGTCGCTCGTAGAGTTCCCTCCCAGGGTCACAGGATGAAAATCATTATAACTTCTAGATTGTCCATCCTACAACATTCAGTATGTAAAGCTCGAGCAGTGTAAGTCCTCAGAGGGATGTTCGGAACAGACTGATGGCCTGATCAGATGCAGAGAAAGTGATCCTAAGTGCTCCCAGTTTGCAGATAGGTAGACAGGGCACATACTGAGAGTAGCAGATGATCAGGGTCAGAACAGAGCATCTTGAGTCCAAACGTTGTCCAAACAGTTCATAACGGTGATCCAAGGCTTGAACGTACAAAAGTCAGACCTCAGTCCAGTGCATGAGTAAACAGACTACTTCAAGCTGAATATCTAACAGCCTACTTAAACTCTCTTGATTGGAGCAGGTGTGCACAGCAGAGACCTGAGCTGCAGTGCTTTATAAGACCTGCAAATGAAGAAGGCTCAAGGTTTTTCAATGTCAGATGCCATTCTTTAGTTTGCTGTGATGTCTGTGTGCTATAGGCATATGCAGAACATCAGAGAAGTTTGCAAATGCATGTAACAGTAAATAACAATGGGGGGTGGGGTTTGGTTTTGTGACAGTGCAAACTTAACACTTATGCGGATGAACATAGAAGGATGGTCGAAAAAAATGCCAAGTGGTCCATTACCTCTGCTCTTTTTTTAACATTTTTAAACTTTTTAATTCTTTCTTTCTTTTTTTAAATCGCCGTATAAGTCCATGTTTGTCCCGAGCATGTTACTGTTGATTGACTCGCTACCTCCGGGGGAAGTCTACTCCAAGCTCAGGCATTCCTGCTAGTTCTTGGCCATGGCCGATGAGACCAGATGTTCATACAGCTCGGAGCTCAGCCAGATCTTTCATTCCTGTGTAGGTGACAGTCAGCCAAACAGAACTAGGAGTTGTTGTCAAAAACATATCCCGCTCAATTATATATTATTATATGATATATTCTGCCTTTTTAGGGGATTACCGATGACCAAGTGGACCTAAGGAGAGACATTGCCTTCAATCTTTCTCTCATTTACCAGAGCAGTGGCAACACGGAAATGGCTCGAAGACTTTTGTATACTCATTGTATCATATAGCGTGTTTTTTTTTTTTTTTTTTATTTAAAGTATGGAAATAAATTTTTTTGTATATAAAATTGTAAATTGTGTCTGTGTGTGTTTTGTTGAGATGATAGATATGCTAAAATCGCTTGTGAGCATGCTTTTACATTGAGGTAATACCTTCATATGAATTCATAACCATGAATGTTGACTGATGAAGGACCGCAGAATCATTATTATTATTATGTAACTATAGCTGCGCTTTCTAAAGCGAGCAAAATCCTCTCTTGTATTAAAAGAGGTATAGACTCCAGAGAGAGAAATATAATTTCCCCGGTACAAATCATTAGTAAGACCTCATCTGGAATATGCAGTTCAGATTTAGGCACCAATTCACAAAAAGAACATTGGGGAACTGGAGAAAGCACAGAGAAGGGCAACCAAATACCATCACTAGGAGGTGTACCTTTATTACATAAGAGTCAAATTATGATCACAATGGACGTCACCACGGTCTACGAAAGAAGCGGAAGGGAAGAACCTGCCCTGGACTGCAAGCCAAAGATGGAGGTTGGTAACCTAGACAACGCGTTTCGCCTGCATGCGTCTTATCAAGTCTTGTAGACCGCGGTGACGTCATTCCGTGACGCCACAGTCTCATGGTCTATCGCTAGGGACAGGAGTTCCCTCTGCCCTACAACTTCACATCGGAGCGGATGGGCTGTCCACCCTGGCCTGGGCCACCCCTCATCTATTGTGATCATCATCCAGCCTATCCGCTCCGATGTGAAGGTGTAGGACAGAGGGAGCTCCTGTCCCTAGTGATGGACCACAAGACCTTGGCGTCCCGGAATGACGTCACCACGGCTACGAAACTTGTTAAGGCGCATGCATGCGAAAGGCATTGTCTAGGTTACCGGACTCCATCTTCGGCTTGTGGTCCAAGGCAGGTTCTTCCCTTCCGCTTCCTTCGTAGACCAGGGTGACGTCCATTGTGTTCATCATTTGACTCTGTAATGTAATAAAGGTACACCTCCTAGTGATATTCTCACACCGCAGATTTCTTTGATGTTCTTCAGACATTAGTTACAATACAATTTGGTACAAGAGGAAATAGAGGGTCCTGCTCGTTAGAGCTTACAATCTAAGAATATCATAAAATGAAATGGTTCTCTGTGGATGTTAAATGTAGAAAATACCCAAAAAACAAAACCTCCACCAGGATGCTATCCAGAGGTGTGCATGCACCATTACTCAGGCTGGAAACTTCTGCCAGTACCCAAGGTGAGCATACATGTTACTCAGACATCTGTGGGTGCTGGTGCATGCGTGTGCACGTTTAATTCCAGAACTGGCGCCAAACACCCTATTTAAATGCAAAGGAGTAGTTGAAGGATGATCTTCATCTAGTCCCTGATCCTTGTTCCTGTGTACCCTGATCCTGCGTTGACACTTGACTACCGGTTACCTACTTGGCTTGCCCCTGGACTTTCCTTTTCTTGTCTCCTGGTTGTGACCGCAGCTCGCTGAAGAGTTCACTGATCTACCATTTATGGTTTGGCTTGGCTCCTGACTGCTCCATCATCTCCAACTATACTGCTCACCTGTGTATGACATCGGCTTGGCTCCAGACAACGTTTCTCTTACCACATACTATTGCTCACCTGTGTATGACCTCAGCTTGGCTCCAGACAACGTCTCTCTTATCCACATCTCATTGTTCACCTGTGTATGACCTCAGCTTGGCTCCAGACAACGTCTCTCTTACCCACATACTATTGCTCACCTGTGTTTGACCTCAGCTTGGCTCCAGACAATGTCTCTCTTATCCACATACCATTGTTCACCTGTGTATGACCTCAGCTTGGCTCCAGACAACGTCTCTCTTATCCACATCCCATTGCTCACCTGTGTATGACCTCAGCTTGGCTCCAGACAACGTCTTTCTTATCCACATCCCATTGCTCACCTGTGTATGACCTCAGCTTGGCTCCAGACAACGTCTTTCTTATCCACATCCCATTGCTCACCTGTGTATGACCTCAGCTTGGGTCCAGACAACGTCTCTCTCCTATCCAGATTTCACCTGTGTATGACCTCCACATAGCTTTTGACCTCGGCACTGCTACCCTCTCTAATTTTCCTATCCTGCATCATCCTGCTGCGAGTGTTGTTATGTTTTCCAGCTGCTGTGCCTCTCCATAACTCCTCTGAGACTCTCCTGTTCCTACCTGTGACCAATCCTGCTGGCTACCTCCAGGACAGCCACCAGCAACCTGGACCTTTTGGCACCTATGTCACTTGCATGCCCTGTCACCATATCCAGGGTTGTTTTGGACCCGAGTCACAATGGAAGCCCTCTCGTCACTTTGGCAACCAGGTGGAGGGAGCTTAGACAGTGGGTTGACATCATGGGATCCCCCACATAACAGTGTTTTTGGACTTGGAGATTGTCCTCTTATCTGCTGGCTCGGCTTTAGGTGGTAAACTATCTGCAATGCCTGGTGTACTTCCCTTGCTATAATGTATTGTTGGAGTACCAGACTCTATCCCAGCACTTTCCCCTTGCTCCTTGCTATTGGGTTCAACCTGCAGACATCAGAGAGCAAGTCCCACACAATCACGAGTCACTCTTCTTGTATGACGGTGTAGGCAACTTCTCTGGGCATGTTTTCTGATCAAATTAAATAAAAAATACTCCTGCCTTCTTTTTATCACACCCAGGCCGTAGGTAGAGGTATCGCTAGTCTTGTACTTGCACACATAGAAGGCAACTCATCACCTCCTGGAGGCATTAACTGTTATAGGAAAGATATACTTCTTGCCCAAACTCCCAGCTATAGCTAGGGTTCCTGTCTACCGTAGCCCGCTTGAAAGGTACATACATATTGAAACCAATGGGGCTTTGACATTATCCACTGCTTTACCTGCAGTAAAGCACCTTTAGTGTTACTTTATATAGAACACCCTCCAGGGAGTTTTCAGAAACCCATAGGAAGCGGTTTTTTAATTTTAAGCCCTGATAAAGGGGGATTGGTGGATACCTTTTTATCCTCCTTGTTGTCGAATTGAAATTGGTTGTAAATATTTATGGGCTCTTAGATGACCCTCTGCAGCTGTTGGCAAGTGATTACCAATGTCCTTTTCCTTATATAGAAGCCCCCCCCCCCCCAGTCCCATAGACTTTTTGATTGTAAGCCCTGATGAAGGAAGACTGGCGCCACATGAAACGTGTTGGATATCTTTGTATCCTTTTTGCTGTCATATTAATATTAGCAATAAATGATAATAGACACTTAAGGCGACCCTCTGCAAGCATCAACTTGGGCAAAACCTTTTAATAAATAAGATCCAGTGTCTTGTCTCGAGAACAATAAATATGTTCTAAAGTGATTTACTTCTTTTGTAACTAGTTTAGTTTATCAAGTGATGAGAAACAAAGTACAGGCAAGAGTGTGGGCTATCGGGATATAGCAGCAGCCGATCCAACAAGCCACAAAAAAGTACAATGACATCATTATCATCACATGCTCAGTCTATCAGCTAATGGCAGGATGCATCATCTATCACTAGCTCAAGTTTCCGAGATCTGGTTCAGATTTCTCTTAATAGTAATCCTTCATTGTAAATGATAAACGCCAACTTTTTTTAACGTGATTATTAAAGCAGTGCAAAGATCATTGTTTCTATGCAAATCATGGCAGCCAAGATGGTCAATAAAATATATATTTTGGTTGATTCCAATAGATCACCGAACTTTACCAACTATTTTTTGCTGTGAAGTGGAAATAAACCCATTGATGTAACTAATTCCCAAAACCGTTACATTTAAGGCATGCCGTGAATGATAATTGTCAAAGTTACTTGTGCTCTCATCCGATCTGTGAAGCCAAAATAAATAAATCCAGTGGCTGATGTCATAACTAATCGCGTGTGGAGCTCCATGGTAGCTGCAGATTAAACAGTAAAACCAATGTAAGGGGCATTCTTTGCATTGACCACCAATGAGAGGAGCATTCTTCCTACTGTCCACCGTAAGGCGCATTCTTCCAATTGACCACCACTGTAAGGAGCATTCTTCCCATTGACCAGCAATGTAAGTGGCAATCTTCCCATTGACCACCACTGTAAGGAGCATTCTTCCCACTGACCACCAATGTAAGGGGAATTCTTTCCATTGACCACCAATGTAAGGGAAATTCTTCTCAAAGGCCACCAATGTACAGGGCATTCTTTCCACTGACCTCCAATGTAAGGGACATTCTTCTCAAAGGCAACCAATGTAAGAAACATTCTTCCCACTGACTACTAATGTAAGAAACAATCTTCCCATTGACCACCAATGTAAGGAACATTCTTCCTACTGGTCTCCATTGTAATGAACATTCTTCTCACTGACCACCAATGTAAGGAGCATTCTTCGCATTGACCACCAATGTAAGGATCATTCTTCCCACTGACCACCAATGTAAGGAGCATTCTTTCCACTGACCATCCAATGTAAGGATCATTCTTTCTACTGGTCACCAATGTAAGGAAAATTCTTCCTTCTCACTGACCACCAATGTAAGGAGCATTCTTCGCATTGACCACCAATGTAAGGGGGCATTATTCTCACTGACCACCATTATAAGGGGCTCTCTTCTCATAGACTATCACATTATAATGTACCATGACCTAAAGATATAGTAATTATAGACAGTAGTTCCCTGAGACCCGAAGTAATTTCAAGGTTTCTTCTATGATAAAAAGGTTGAGAGAGGCTAATCTAAGGCATAGAAGTTCATATTTATAGTAGGTATCTAATCAAAGTTTCCCAAGGTCTGTAAAGTGATGACAGTCTGTAAAAGTTCTTTAATAACAAACCGTAGTTACTCTGTTGCAGCCAATTTTGTTCTTTCCCAAAGTAAGAGTCGGCGCTGGTATCTTCAGCATCCAACACTTCCAGATGTTCCTGCACCTAGGACCTTCAATCCTTCCATCACCGTTGCAGCTCTTGGCTTCCAGGGGTGCTTGGATGGGGATTGTGCATCTGCGGCTCCTCAAACAGGTACATGACATTGCTGTTGATTTCATTCATTTCTTTTGCTTCGTTATTGATTCTTCTCAAAGCAAAATTTAAGTATAACTAAAGGCAAAACTTTTTTTTTTTTTTTAAAGTGTTGGACAGAGTGGAGATGGATTAGAACACCTAGTAGATTTTTATTGCTGTCTGTGTCCCCATTAGGGAGATTCACCTTCTATTTGTCCAGTTTACCATTATCATTGAAAGGGAAAGTAAAAGAAACCCCCCAACTTTTGGTTTTTCCCCAGAAAATTAATAAAAGGGACATTTTCCATTGGGGACACTAGTTCTGGTGACCTGGGAGTCCCCAAGAAAATCCCTTAATATGTGGGGAGTGCCCCTCATTTCCTGTTTTGGCTATGGGACAGGAAGTAAAGGTAAATCTCCCCAATGGGACACAGTTGGCAAAAATAAACTGACAGGCGTTATAACCCTTCTTCTCTATCCAAAATGAAAAAAAAAATTTTTGCCTATAGTTCTACTTTAACCCCTTCCTGTCTGGCCCATGTAGATAAACGGCCGGACAGGAGCAGTGCAGGAGCGGGTGGACGTTTCTAAACGTGTAACAAAACACTTTCGATGGTATATTTAACAGACCAAAGGGAGCAAATAAGAGAGATTATATATATATATATATTAATATATTAACATAAAACAATATTTATTTCAGGTACTTCTATAGCGCCGTCAATTTACGCAGTGCTTTACATATATATTGTACATTCACATCAGTCCCTAACCCTCAAGGGACGTACAATCTAAGGTCCCTAACTCGCGTTCATACATACACATACTAGGGCCAATTTAGACAGGAGCCAATTAACCTACCAAACATGTCTTTGAAGTGTGGGGGAGAGAAACCAGAGTAAACCCACTGGTGCCGTGGTTGGGATTCAAACCGACGACCCTAGCCAGGTGGAAGTGCTAACCATTTAGCCACTGTGCTGTCCATATATATGCAATAGGTATACACTTAAGGTTTACTTAACTTGGTTTTTTAGGTAATGGAGTGTTCTTCCTTATATCCAGGATCTCTTTCCAGACTGCTCCTTGCTTCTCAGAGTCTTCCAAAACCACTTCTGCTTCCTTTTCTCAGCTCATGACTGTGTCCAAGTCCTCTGTTCCCTCCCTCTGCTTCCTGTCAACATCGATTCATCTCCTGAGCTCATGAACCAGTCCAACAAGTTCATTAGCTCACAAATAGGGGAAGCCTAGCTTCTACTTCTATTTATGCTATAATAATCACTAAAATAGCCATAGTAGACCTATGGTTAACATCTCCTCTTACATAATGTGACCTATAAGCCCTACCTATCTACCAATACTTGAGTATAGCATTTGAGTGTAAAATGTGTCTAATTTCTAAAAAGTGGTAAAACATTTGGTATTGATCATTGCATTTGTGTCTCCGTTCTTCTGCCCCCTTAATCTCTTGAACCTTCAACACCCAGTCCTTCATTGTGGGAATGCTAGATGTCTTCCGCTTTTGGGTTATCAAGCTTTTACCAGCATTTAAGAGATGGGGTGTTAGGGATTGCTTATATTAACCTATGCTTGTGGCATGAAACGGGACCATCAGGGGTTCATCAATGTAATATACTCAATTACACCTCGGATCCCAGTCCAGAACAGTTTTCAATGGGGACAGTCCCAGCATATGTGCAAAAAAGTGCTCCTCTGTCAACGACTTCTCCAACACTCAGCTGAAACCAAGGGATAGGCTTTTGATGACATCTCGGTGACCTTGTACCATCACGCTAAAAAAATTTATTTTTTGTTCCTGCAATTCGGATTTAATGGACTTCATGGAATATCTGAATGAAAATATTAGCACACGATACACCTATGATTTTTTCACATTTATATCTTTCACCTTTAAACTCTAAAACAAAAGCTATTATCTAACAAAGCACGTATCTAATATTTCTATTCAGTAGTTCATGAGGGCATGTCAAACGGGATGTCTGAAGTCTACTGACTTTATCACCGCTTTCCAAAGCTTCCTGTAAGGGCAGAAAACACATTGTTTGGACTGATAAAGCGTTTTCAAGCATTGTCGCGGAAAAGCTTATTTTAGGTTTCCCGAACGCAACCGACTTATTTTATCTGCAGAAGACAAAATTCAGAACTTTTTTGTGAATGAAAGAAAATTTGTAATCCTTCTGGGAAACTGAGCAGCCAAACTGATGAAAGGAATTTGTTCAATAAATGTGAATGCTCTTCAATAAACTTGCACCTGTAATATCCATCAAAATATATTCGCCTTACCCCTTTCATCATGAGAGATGGTGTTTAAATGGGACATAAAGCCCAAGGCCTGTAAGAGGGGCTCCTAGGCATGCTTCACTGTGATTGTCTTGATGTTGTCCTCGGCAGCCCATCCTAATGGCTCCTGATTTTGAATAGTTGACTCTGAGCCGTTGGCCGATGAAATGTTCTCCAGAACAACACAGTGACACATTTATGCAGCAGCTGAGCATTTGGGACCTGGTGCCCTGGCATTGCAAATGTTACCGGTCGCTAGCTTTGTGACTACATCCTGAACCTTGGTGGTCTGACCACTGGGAATGCTGGAGACCACTTCTCCGAGTAACAGCTACCACTCGGCCACCTTCCCACCATGCAATATATGTGTCACCTCCTTCCCATGGTGTCCCTCTAACAAAACAGGGCTGCATTTAACCCCAATGACTTTAAAAGTCACAGCTCAAACTCTACCTAAGGGAGCATCTGGTTCCCTAGCCTACAATGAAACCCATGGGGTCCTTTTCTCCCTCTTTTTGTCCTTGGATGTCGGCGGGTCCTAAATGATGCATAAAACATACTCATGCAATTATATGGCACTCTTCTCTGCTGCATTCTTTTGGAAGTCCAGGGCAGCTTGATGACATACCCCAAAGGGTTCGAGTCTTTGATACATTGGGCTCTCTAGGACTGGAGTTTTATTTTATAAAAGACCGGGGCAGTATTTTTTTTTTTATTATTGTAAGCTGAAATTGGCAATTTAAAAAGTGATGTTGACAAAGAACGAGGAAGAAATAGAACATCTGTGTGTCACCTTCAAGCTGAGGAAGTGGCAAGTTTGAGCCATGAAATGCATCTTTGATGAAATAAAGTAATTTGATATTACTCCGATCCATCCCTAGACACACCATACCACACATCCAATGGGTGTCTCTGCCAATCGATTCACCATCAGGTTTTCAGGACCCCTGAGGCATTAGGAGCGTCCAACTCTATTTTTCATGGAAACAAGAGTGTTCCCCACTTGCTCCCTCAGAAGGTTGTGTGTCTCACCCAGTAGGGTTACCCCAAGCTCACCAATTGTAAGTTACCGTGTTCAGTATCCCTACCTAAACGACTATTTTTGAAGGTATTTGTCCTATGTACAAGTGAAACTCGAAAAATTAGAATATCGTGCAAAAGTTCATTTATTTCAGTAATGCAACTTAAAAGGTGAAAAGAATATATGAAATAGACTCATTACATACAAAGCAAGATAGTTCAAGCCGTGATTTGTCATAATTGTGATGATTATGGCTTACAGCTCATGAAAACCCCAAATCCACAATCTCAGAAAATGAGAATATTGTGAAAAGGTGGAATATTCTCGGCTCAAAGTGTCCCACTCTAATCCCCTAATTAAGCCATAACACCTGCAAAGGGTTCCTGAGCCTTTAAATGGTCTCTCAGTCTGGTTCAGTAGGAATCACAATCATGGGAAAGACTGCTGACCTGACAGTTGTGCAGAAAACCATCATTGACACCCTCCATAAGGAGGGAAAGCCTTGAAAGGTAATTGCAAAAGAAGTTGGATGTTCCCAAAGTGCTGTATCAAAGCACATTAATAGAAAGTTATGTGGAAGGTAAAAGTGTGGAAGAAAAAGGTGCACAAGCAGCAGGGATGACCACAGCCTGGAGAGGATTGTCGGGAAAAGGCCATTCAAAAGTGTTATGGACTTTCACAAGAAGTGGACTGAGGCTGGAGTCAGTGCATCAAGAGCCACCACACACAGACGGATCCTGGACATGGGCTTCAAATGTTGTATTCCTCTTGTCAAGCCGCTCATGAACAACAAACAACATCAGAAGCGTCTTATCTGGGCTAAAGAAAATCAGACCTGGTCTGTTGCTCAGTGGTCCAATGTCCTCTTTTCTGATGAGAGCAACTTTTGCATCTCATTTGGAAACCAAGGACCCTGAGTATGGAGGAAGAATGGAGAGGCCCAAGGACCCAGAGTATGGAGGAAGAATGGAGAGACACAAGGACCCCGAGTATGGAGAAAGAATGGAGAGGCACACACTGCAAGATGCTTGAAGTCAAGTGTGAAGTTTCCACAGTCTGTGTTGATTTGGGGAGCCATGTCATCTGCTGGTGTTGGCCCACTGTGCTTCATTAAGTCCAGGGTCAACGCAGCTGTCTACCAGGAGATTTTGGAGCACTTCATGCTTCCTTCCGCAGACAAGCTTTATGGGGATGCCGACTTCATTTTCCAGCAGGACTTGGCACCTGCCCACACTGCCAAAAGCACCAAAACCTGGTTCAATGACCGTGGGATTACTATGCTTGATTGGCCAACAAACTCGCCTGACCTGAACCCCATAGAGAATCTATGGGGCATTGCCAAGAGAAAGATGAGACATGAGACTGAACAATGCA